TTGTGTCGTGGTCGCAGTGTAACAATCAAACGGACTGTAATCAGATTAGTATTGGTCGAGTTCCCAGAGGAGGCTGCGGCCAGAGAGCCAGTCATCCGCGGTAATAACCACCGACCCACGTCACACACTACACGGAGAAGGATCTCGCCTCTCATATATTATGGTATTATTAGGTTCTATGTGAGGACGACACCGGGCACTGGTTGTGGGTGGAACTATCTTTACATAAATAGATGCTTCAGAACTAGCCACAACAAGTGAACACGGTATTGGTCTTATATTTGAAGTATCCAAGATATTTATAATTTTTTGTCTGAATCTCTGTTACTGGTAACAATCGGAATAAAATATACTAACAGTACTGTTATCATATGAAATGGAATTACGTAATATTGTTATTATTAAATACATAGAGATGAAGATAAGAAGATTTGATAAACGGGTTGGATGCAGGACTTGTAATTTATAGAGAGGGTTGAGGAGTGAACGTTGTGGGGTGAGGGGTGAGGAAGGGAATTTAAGTTTAAGTTTCAAAGATATTCAATAATAATTTAGTGATTAGTCCTTTGTGACTGAATTAAAAGAAGATCAAAAATGTTCTTCAATATTTAATCCACCTTTACATATGGTGTTAAAATGTTATTGAATCCTATGTCGTGTGTTTTATGTTGTTAATGAACTATAAACCAACCGTCAGCAGGTCCCGCCGGGAGGTGTTCATTGTCTCGTTGTCTCGTGTTACTATCCGTTAGTTCCTACATCCACACAACCTCCCTAGGCTCTAGTCGGCGGCCGTGCCGTGTCTGCGGTCCGTATGAGCGCACGTTATAACATAATTACCTTCTGGTATGCATCATGAGAATGAGATGCTAGAGAACGCTGCTCGGTAGCGTGATCAGCGGAACAACGGCTAATTACTAAATTATATACCTCCGACCGACCCCGACACAGGAATACCGCTCTTATGTCCAGGCAGGAGAGGCGCCTATCCCCCGTCGTGTATCGTACACGGTCTAGTCCGCCATGAGCCATGATTAGTGGTCGATGGGCCCGAGGGGAACGATTTCGTTATAATTTCATTTAATGCCTATGATTCTCATTGGGTTTGTGTTTTCACTATTTATTATTTATAAGTGTTCCATTGAACCATATTTGATATATGATATTTATAATTTTTATTTCGGATCACTACCTCCGGCTGTTATAAACAAAAAATTGCGACACTTTAATGTGGACTCAGTTATGTTTAGATTATAATATCAATCAATCAATATATTATATTTTATTTTCGCCAGGTCCGCTCTCTAATAGTTCGAGTGAAAGTTTAAACGCATATTATATATTTGTATCTGAGATCCAAATCTTAAGATGCTCTAGCAGTTAGTCAGTTAGAGTAACTGTAGAATTATTATGAACTGATGGACCGATGGCCAAACATAAACGATCATCAATGTTCCGTTCACAGCTCGGTCAGATAAGGCGAGTGATGTCGTGAGTGTTGTGAAACTTATTGTCATCTGTATCACAAGTATTTCATTATTATGATCTGACTTCCGAGACATGTTTTATACGATGAGCGACTTTACGATAACATTTATTTTGATTTGTTACGTCATATACGGAGATGTAATATTCTTTTATAATTAAAAAAATGTAAAAGATTTAGTACACTGGTGTACTAATGATTACTTCTTAATTATCTGAAAAAAAGCGATCAATTCAATATAAATTTTATTGATTCCTTTCCACTGGTTTTGTTGTTTTTTTTTTACTATTTCAATATCATCCGTTTCCTTATATTATTTTCTATATTATTCCCCCTACTTTTTCTTATATTAAAGTCGTTTATCTCGCGAAAAAGATGACATATGTTCCCTCTAATCTACTCCACACAGACTCGTGTCACACCTCATGTGTTAATGGTATATCTGTTTCAATCATTTCTTATTGTTCGGTCTCGATCCTGGCTCCATCGTAAATTGTCTCCGCGGCCGTCTGTGTGTCTCCGCAGATAATAATATTACTCTATATTTATATTCTTACTAAACGACTACAAACAGAACATCTAAATAACTGTATTATAATATTATTTATCAGTATTTATTTTCCAGAGAACATTACTTTTTCGTTCGTTGAGTCTTGTCATTGTTGCGATGTATTATAAGAAAAGTATATATTTGTATGAAGTTTATAATAGAAAAGTGTCTGAGATTTTTACTAATGGAATATTTATTAGTATATACATATATTTGAAACTAATGTGTAGTGGAATCATATTTCCAAGAGAGGTTTTTAAGGTTTAAAAAGTCCGAATAATATTAAATAATCTAAACGTGACGTTTAAAATAAAGATTGTATTATATATATAAGTATAATATATATAGAAGTTATAGTCGATATGAAACCTGAACAGTGATATAGTTTGTAAGTAATAACATCGGTTCACGAGTAGAGCGCGGCCGGCCGCGGCCGGAGTGCATTAATTGCAACCGATATTAGCCGCCGCATAAAGCAGAGGTCGTGAGCTACGGACGTACAGACGTACAGACAGACGATATATATTATATGAGTCGTGACAAGATCTCGTAAACTCTTTGTCATTATTTATGGCACGAGTCGCTTCCTAAACATCGGGAATTAATCCTGGAGGTATAAGATTACTAGCGGGTCGGCTGCTCTCACCCAAGAGATGAATCTGGCGGAGAGTTGTTCCGTTTATCGTTGGTCTAATAAATATTATTACACTTATAAATTAACATTCAATTTGTGAAATGCATTTAAAATCTTAATATTATACAGTCAAGTCAATTATATGAACAATTACAGATTATTTGTATATGAAATTTTGCTCACATGTAGTATTCCATTCTGCAATGTTAGGTTAATTAAAATTGAAAAAAGCATTTCCTAGTTTAACATTAAAACATAATTAAAGGAAAAAAAATAAAAATATGTCTTACTACTACGAAACAGACATGTTTGAAACAATTATTGACGATAAAAAATGTAGTCAATAGTCAAGTTCATAAATAATGTCGGGAATGTGGCGCAAAAATTTCCTGTTCGAGTGTGACAAGGAGCGGGTGACGAGCTTCACTTACAGTAATATATGAGGCGTGTGTGAGCTCACATATTATTGTAAGTTAGCGCCGGCGCCACCACACGGACACCGGGCCTTGGAGACGTCACACGGAGCTGGGGAGATAACTGTACAGGTGACGTGCGTTATATCGAGTTATAATATATAAAAGAATAATATACAGATGGCCACAAGTCTCACTGGAATCAACTGAATGAACGTTGTTCAAATAATAAAGACGCTATAGTAAACATTTGTATGGTATTTAAAGACCGCTTGTGCCTTTCTAAAGTAAAGTAAACGTGAACAATTAGAGATGTATGAATAGATGATAGTTCCCTTGATAGTGAGCGGCCGGGCCGACGCGGACGGTAGACGCCGCGCCGGTTATCTCGAGAGGCCGATATCAGCCATTTGAATACAATGTTACTCACAAACACTATACATAATTCATCGACTATATCTTTCACAAAAACTGCGCCGAGAGTCATACTCCCAATGTTTTATTAATATGACAACGGCGCGGCGGAACAGACGTCGTTACTGCAAATAGCGATCGCCAGATTAACAGGCTCCGGGAGCAGCCCCGGCGACCGGCGAGCTCTAAGGAGGGTACACACGGACAACAGAACCTATGAAACACACGACTTGAATTAGTAGACTCGTGAATAGTGGTGCGTTACTACAACCAGTCATAACAGTTACAGGCGAGCGGTTACCGGCGGCGACACTCAACACACACACACCGCGCTCTCTGAATTTATAATTGTTTCACTTAATCGGTCCATCAATCAATCACCGAGTAGATGTTATCAGAGTCCTCGCTGACAGTGCGCGAGATATGAGGAAATTGAATAACACGGAATGAAACAACTTGAATAACATTCATAATACATCACCACTACAACAATATAATAAGTATTTATAATACACCTGGCCGGATCATTGGAATGGTAACTCTGAGCCAGTGTAAGGATACTCTTATTATTATTCCATTACAGAACCACCTCCATCACCAGCTGTGGTTCCAGCTCCTGATCCGAGCTCCGTCTCTCTCCGTCTTTCATATCGTATATAATAATGTTTTCGAAGCTCTGTCGACTCGTGACTGGGACTAATGCGTCCTCTTTGTAATGTTCCAACTATAAATAATTTGAGTCTGTTCGTCAATTAGTGTTAACGGCGATGCTATTTAATCTGTGGCTTGTTTGACGACACAGATGGCTCATGGCTGTCCCGGAGAGCAAACAGTTTGACAAATACGGTCCATTGATGCTGTGTGCTCACTCTCTGAACGGACCAACAAAGACATACCTCCCGGATTAAAATCACAAAAGATATATGTATGTCATGTTTTGTTTAAATAACTTCTATTCAGACTATTTAGTTGTTTGTTAACGAACATTTTAAATTAAATACGTCTTTCATAACACACTCACTTCATACTATGCTCGCTGACCCGGCGATGTCTGCTGGGTGTGTACTGTATGTATGTAAAAGCACGTTACTTTTAACATGTTGCTATCATAACTGTGGGTTGTTGTACTTGCATGTTACAAGTAACGCGCTCGTTGGAAGGTTTACTCCCATGTTATTTAAAGTTAATACTCGCAGCGTCGTTCATATAAACATATTATAAAAGCTTATAAATTTATATTATTCATTTTTTTAAACTATGTGTCAAATTCAAAAAACCTTTGTTTATATTTCGTTGCTTTAAATTAAATCAGCCATTAAGACTCGCTGTTTGTGAAGTCGTTGTTAGTATTCTGAAATTAAAATGACAATAACGTCATATCCACCAGCTAATCGTACAAACCCTCTGTACACACTCACATTCAGATTTGAGTCTTAATTTTATTGTATTATGGTTTAAATTACGGATACATCATGTATATTTTTTTTGTGTTTCGTTAAGTGAATGATAGATCGCTTACATCCCAAACAAGAGAACACGCAAAAAACACAATCGGAGACAGCGGACTGTCCTCGACACACGAGGAGAAACGTTTTGTTATATGTAATTACAGTTTATAAAACATTACGTGTCGACATCCGCACGGACCTCACTGTGTGGAGTTATGTGTACAAGCTTTACAAGACTGGACACCTCAAACTTAAAACCAACGCATGCGGCCGGTCACAGGTGTTCAAGCCTCCCTCGGACGATTAACTTGATGTATGAACTTAATAATTAATACTACTCAATCTACTTAACATACAGGAATAACGATTACTAAAGAACAGAACTGAGAAGTGACAAAATATATCTTAATAGTTCTACTCAAACTTCTGTACCCAATTTTTAATTGCACGAGTGGATGGAGCTTGATTTTTATTTCGTATGTTGTACTGTGTTTGTTTCCGCTCTAGATTACAGGACGGCCAAACTAAACAAGGGACACATTTGGAAGACGTTATTTTTAAAAAATAAAACCCTGATTTTTGTACTTTTATAATAAATAAACATATTTTCTCTCATATCTCTTTTGTATTTTTTATAACCATTCGAAATGTTACCGGACTTTTGGTCCACCCTGTACAACGTTTTGTGTATTGATTTATTAAAACTTTTCCACTCTACGTAATTTTTTTTAATGTATGTGTGTGTGTGTGTGTGTGTGTGTGTGTGTGTGTGTGTGTGTGATCTGATCGACGGATGTTCATACAATCCGATGCTCCAATGATCACGTTTAATTTAACATTGAATAGAAGCAAATGAAATTAACTGAGCTGAAACTCAGACATCATAACGAGATGGCGACTTACTCTCATACACTCCCGACACCCCGCACGCTACAGACACTCCTGACACTCGAGACACTGGAGGTAATGATTGATTGATGATTATCTACATGAATAAAATGTATTTATTATGTTTGTTTATAATAAACTGTTAACAATATCATGTTAATTGGAAGCTCGCGTCCCGTGATGGCTCAGGGGGAGCACACTCGTCATTCCTTGTTATATGTTTTACTTATTGTATTTATATAAATAAAAGTTTTCATTCGACCGTTACCAGTACATCGATGATGGATTGTAGTTTACTTCACACCGCAACAAACAACTGTTCAATGAAGTTGAATGACGACTCGTCATATAATGATTTGATTGAGTTCAGTGTGATCGTGTGTTGAAGGCTTAGTCAGAGAGAGGATGTAGCTCACTGAAACTTACATTAAAAAACAATACTACAGTTTAAGTAAAAGACTTATCGAAATAAACTAATTATTTCACAAGGATATCTCCATCTTTTTTGAATACACATATTTAAACACACCAGTAGTGTAGTTCGATATAAGAAGTCACTTTCTTTGTCTGTTATTCCAAGTTGGTCGATTAGTTTGGTTGTTTACTCTGAATCACATTATTTGTTTCTTTATTCGTTAATTTAATCGTTCTCTAACTACACGGAGCGGAGTGTCTGTATGTAACAACACTATCAATAATAATATATAATGTTTAGTTTTTGTCAAGTGTTTTGTCCATTATTTGAAACGACTTGACAGACATATTGCTTATTTTAATACTGATTTTGTTAAAATCTTAACCTCGATAATCTACTTTCACACATGTGTATGCTTATACCGATGTTTAATTTGATCGCAAAATACTATAACATTATGATTTAAGCGAGATAATATATAAAAAAAACTATTAGCATGAAAAACCAATAACACATTTTATGTCGTGTTCTATGTTGAGTGTTTTCCAAATGTTTTCGTTTTAAGATCAACGTTCCGAGATGGAGGTGATTTATGAACACACACGTTCATGTAATACATCTCTATAACATACCGTCTTAAACACTATTTGACATTAATGAGGACTTGTAAACTTAGAGCAATGTTAAGATCGTCATAACACTTACAAACTCAACATACTAAACTACTATCGCAATCTGTTTCAAGTATCTCAAAGCCTTTTTCTTCAATAACAAGTAGTTAATTTTGATGTGATGCAAGCAATAATTACATTACAAATAAAAAAAGATTGAAAACGTTACGAATAAACTTTCGATTTTAAAATTACACGCTCTGCATATTAATAGTTACGGATTAGAATCTAAATATAGGGTACATAAAGATCACGGAGGTTTGCACAATGGATTATAAAGAATGAGAGGCACTGGGTACTATGAGCGGAGGAGAGGCGAGCCGGCCACGTGACCGGCGCGGCCTTCGACCAGCAGCCGGCTAACAAAGAACTATCGATAACACGAGGAACATCACGCCTGGAGCAGCTACACTACCAGATACATCGACTGACAGACGACTACGAGCTGCGTATACCTTCATAAATAGTTTGATTGGTTTTGAGAAATAATAAAACATGTGAGGTAACGGTCATGTTCATACAACCACTCGCCCCTCCTCCCCCTCCTCCTCCTCCAAGTACTCCGCTGTAACTATAACCATACATTTGTATTCAACACGTTCCTCATTTTTTTCAACATAAACACAGTTTTTAGGAATTAAGATCTATTACAGTTCCAGAATGTTGATGTCACGTGAACTTTGTAATGCATCTGTTTACCAGTTAATTTGAAACGTAGTCTTTATCTGATCGCCTCCATACAGAACAATGAGCTAGTTGTGGATCAGGAAGTCATGTCATGGAAGGTTTTCCTTCATTAATATTTATTTTCAGTGAAGCTAGTGTAGATACGTACTCCAAGCCGTCAATGTTAGCGGGGCTCGCCGCTCGTATGATGTAAGTGTAAGGTCGGCCGAGCGTGGAAGACATTTCATATTATTATAAATATTATTAATACAAATAGTATTTTGATGTGTGTGCATTATTGTAATGATTGACGCCTGTCTGCGTCTATCTACATCTATAGATACATTAGTTCTGTGTCTTCGTAAACGAGCCATAAGAGCAACGGCTCTTAGCCGATGCTATCTTAAAAGCATCATGATTGTTTTTTTGTTTAGATTTAGATGAAGCTGATAGAGATGTGTTTGTAGACAATAGTGTTGCGTTCCTCATTTATTACACAAACCTCTCCACTCTTGACTACTAATTTCATAATTCATATACTTGTATATATTTTAAACTAATGTCAGTTAACGGAGTCAGCACTGATATATATTCGTGTTAACAGCTGATAGAAAGTTACTTGTGTTTACTTTAGAAGTCTTTTTTAAACACTCACAGTTACATGTATTTGTTCGTGATACATTAATTATCACACAGTAATCACACATCATGTTTTACATTAGTGTACATCCTAATGGAGTGCCTTACTATGAATATATTCTGTTATATTTCCTTTTTTCACAAACCTCTTTATATAAAGTAATGTTTCATTAATATTATATAAGGCGAGCGTCAGTCGTTAAAGTTATATTACCAGTAGATGAAGTTAAGTTTGTTAAAGGAGCCGATGTAAAGTGGTTGTTAGGAGTCCCGGGTATCATAAACTTGGTGATAATTACAAACTCCGTACAAGGAGAGTGTTACGGTCGCGAGGTGCTGCGCTCGCCTCTCACGGACATACAGACACACAGACACAGACACACAGACACACACAGAGACACAGAGACAGACACACACAGAGACACAGAGACAGACACACACAGAGACACAGAGACAGACACACACAGAGACACAGAGACAGACACACACAGAGACACAGTCGTAAAGATCCGAGTAACTAGTGGGTACTAACAGCTTATTAGAGAGTTAACATTCGACGGAGGGAGTGAGGGAGTTGAACATTATTAGAACACGGAATAAAACTTAGAGCTCGCTTTATGTACATCTATAACACGAGATAAATCATCGAACGTTGATATAATTATATTGAAATTACATATATTGTCACTTAAAATGAGTTCTCTCCACCCCGCCGCCTCACCATCGATTTGCCAGGTCTCTTTAAACAGTTAATAAACAGCAATATATTGTGGGCGATGTGTCCGGACATAGTGTCAGATGAACACAGAACGAGCTGATTATCCGCTGAGATCAATATGAAAACGGCTACATTACTGACTGAAACTAACTTTAGTGTAACAATAGCATGCTTCGTCATTAACATTTTCCTACGAGGGGTTGTCCTCCACGTACAAATGACGGTGAGCGGGAGGCTGTACATGACGTCACTACTCATGACGTCACCCACACATTACAGACTGGAAACGTGGCACAAATAATACAACTAATAAATATTAAAATATACTAACTTCATCCTTTTTTTTCTATATTAAAATAAAACTATGGTGTATTTAAAATAACATTAGAAATTTATTAAATAAGTTAATTGTTATAAAATTACCGCTAGTCTTATTGTCCTCACACCTCCTGGCCCAACAAGTTGAACGTGATTTTTCTGTAGTGTACTTTGTATGTATTTGATCACTGATTAATTTGATTCCAAAAAGATTTTATTTTAGGGAAACAAAACAATAAGATAAACCCTGGCTATAGGGATTGCCATGAATATTCAAAATTCCTCACATATCATCAGCTAAGTATTCCTCATGTAATAATTTTATTTTATTTTAGGTAAACAAACAATAGATAAATTTTGGGAAAAATACAATAACATACAGCTAAAATTAGACACATACTCGTGTTATTAAAATTAAAAAAAGACTAACATACATAAAATCTAACGAATTTCTTCGGCAGTTATGACTAAAATTTAACATAAATATAATTAAACGAAACAAAATAAAAAAAGACGTAACAAAACACATTAAACAAAATTGAAGGCATTAATGGCTACATCGGTTAGTTAAGTTACAGGCAAAACATTTATACACGTCAAAACAAACTATGAATTGATACATAAATTAATCTTATTAACTTTATTTTTAAAAAGAATACATTTTTTCGAATAATATATCAATATCTGAATAAACTTTATTATAATTTTGGCAGCTACGATATAAGAAGATATTATTAGTACTTTTCGTGTTACAAATCGGCACATTAAATAATATATCTAGAATTTATTCGTGGACAATTAAATTCAATAATTATTTATTGTATATTTTCATCAATAATAATTTATTTATGGTTGTTTATAATGTAAATGATCTTCATTAAACTGTTACAATAATCGAGGTGAGCTCCATGTGAAGCTTCGATGTTAAGGACGCGACGTGTGTACAGTACCTACTCGGTCACCTGACTTTGATAACTGACGAGGATACCTAACATCCCTCGAAAAATACAGAAACATATTATAATTTAATTGTCATAAATTCGTTAAAAACTCTCTCAGCAGGTTCCGATCTTAGATAATTATGAAACACTCGGTTCCGCTCCTCCTGAAATATTCACGAGATGAAAAATTAACTCAACATACTTTTGTTACACATAGTAATTATTTGAACTATTTATAAACTGAAATATAAAATTGATCGATCATCGCTTCGTTTGTTTTTGTGGTATGAATGTTCATAGTGTATTTTATACTCTATTCCACACTGTGATAACTTGTATCGAGCCATAATTTGTAGCGAGGTGGTATTATAAAATGATAAAATGTTCTCATTGAGTCTAGAGTTCCCCGCTCACTAACTTCTTTAGCAGTCTCAGCAGGGCCTGGTGATCGTGAGGTGTATCTGATAAGGGAACTATAATTAGACGGAAAGCTGTGAGCTGGAGGTGTGAGCGGGTCGTGGCCGGCGTGACAATTAGCGTCAGATGCATGTCGTCGACTGTGTCCGTGGCGAGGCGGCACGGTTTACTGGTGTTATTGGAATTTAAGCCAAATTAATATTAAATATCATTATCGGGACTATATTCCATGTTATAAATAGTCAGTATTTTTCCAAGAATCCATTTAATACATTTTAAAGTAGACATTTTATCAAAACTAACCACAACTATAATTTATAACAAGTAAATGATACACCTTACGAAAGTTATTTGCACAACCACTTACGTAAAAAGAAATTCATAGTTACACGACAAGACTTGTGTAATTATTTTCCTTTTGATTTACTGATTGGTTCATTGTTAAGGTTTTTTTATTCCACATTTTATTTTTTTAAGTTAAATGAACCGCTCCCGCAGGTTGTTGCATGTCTCATGAAGGTTTTTGTTTTGTTCAACAAATCAAATCATTGTATTGTCGATACTGATAGATTCTCAGTGTGTATTGAAGCAAACACAACGTAATGTTAATGTATGGAGGTTAATTTATGTATGTAAGTTGTTGAACAGTTCAGTAGGTGTAGTGATGATGTACCGCGGGCTCTGATTGTGTAACATAATTACCGACACATGAACACGGCTGGGAACAATTCTCACTACACATCGGAATATAGTATTTACTCGACACTCGTAGGGCTGCGAGGGTTCGAGGAATGTGCTCTGATTTGGGAAGGAAATGAGTGGGGTCATCGACCCCGGCACGCTAAATGGTAGTGTGTCGTGATGAGCGATCGTGAACCAGTTATTAAGTGGGGAAAGTGCAGGTTTGATGCCCGCCGTGTAATTGGCCTCCAGTTACGACATGAAAGTTTGATTTTATTAATACGAGGCCCGTGTCATGGCGTGCCAGCGGGGACTCAGTTTAATGTACACTCAATGTAAATATTAGGAAAATGACAAAAGAAATCGCGTCGACTCATGAGCGTAGAAAATTATATAAATATTTATAAATCACAGTGACTCTATATAATGGTAACGTAAAACGAAACAATAAAATGTCACCCTGACGTCACACATACAGTTATTAAATAAAATAGTTTTATAATTTCATAGCTATAAAATTGTAAGAACTACAGCGGGTTTATAGCGGGTGTTAGTGACGCTACCTCTCGTCACTTGTACCACACACCGCTCACCGCGTTTACCCACGCTTCTAAACACTATTTAATTATCCGGCATCCGGACTAGATATAATTGTACGATATTCACAATCGCTCACCAAACAATCACTCCGATACCTCCTCCCCCTCCCTCCCTCCTCCTCCCTCCTCCTCCTCCACGACCCCCCCACACTATCGATCAGTAGGAGATGAGGATGGAGATCATCTCGTGACAGTGTCATCAATCACATGTGAAATATAAGTTGACAAATAAGATGATATCGGTTGGATTATGAAAAATGTCTGATCACAAATTAATTACTTGTTTTATTAATACGATGTGAAATAAAGTATTAGTTATCGAATAATTTAAATAATAGCCACGATAATACCTTCTGGATCTTCATTTAATTGTAACATTCACATTTAGAATTATAAAATAAAATTAAAATTGAACGCAAATGCAGCGTGAAATCACAAGCTACCGTGACGACGGCGTGACGACACCGTGACGGAACCGTGACGACCGACCGTCCGACGAGATTACTTAGACGCGGGGGAATCAAATAGAACAAAGAGTTCATAATTGGAAATAATTAAGATAAAGTTGTTAATGTCGTGTAATAAAACACATATATTTATTTTATATCTGTTTGTCGACGCTTCCCATGTTCTGTATTTTGATTAATCTGACATCATAAATAATTTGATTAAAATTAATAGTAATTTCTGCACAAACAAATAGTGTTTTAAGACTATTGATTTATTAATAAAATATATTATGTGTAACTATAGAAGACCGTCCACAATGAGTCGAAACAATTTCTATGATTAATTGAAGCAATCAATGAAATATAACGTGTTGTTAAAACGAATTCGACTCAATGAAATAATAAGTAAGAAGCATTACACTCATTAAAATGCTATTATATATAATAAACATTTAATATGTTATGTTTGTGATTTTAATAATAAAAGACGGAGGCAGAGAGTGTAGAAGTGGTGAGGGTAGTGTGTGACCTACTGTACGGACGTACATACATAGATTAATGATAAAATCAATGAAATTTAAGTAAACGGTCGATCTGTTGTGTTAGAGTCTGATCCGTGGCCTGAAGAGAGTTGTCTCCTAATAGTAGTGATTAGTCAAACAATACGGTACGTACTCACTACTGTCCTGATGGTTTTTTTTTACACCTCCCTCTCCCTCTGCCATGGTCAGAGCCCTTGTTTGCAATTTTTATCCTTCCATTCCAGTTCTCATATTCATTAGGGCCTGCCGTTCTGCATACTGTGTCTTTCTGTCATACATCCTTTCATACTTTAATTATAGTGTACCTATCTTATTTTATTTCTCATTTTATATTTACTTATCATTTTCATTTTGGGTCAAGAGGGATTTGTCAATATTTATTCCAATAAAATTCCAATAAAATATTACGTTTCCAAATACATTAAATAAAATCGATACAATTACATATAAAATAAATTAAATAAAATCCAATAAAACAAAGCTTATCAAATATGTAATTAAAATAATACATTAAAATTTTAAAAGCTTAAACTAATATCACAGTAAATTAAATTTTTTGTATACAATTAAAATAATTTGGAATAATTGGAATAATAAAAATTGACATTAATTAAATAATTAAAATAAAACATTATAGATAAATGATTAAATTAAATTACAATAAAATTCTCTAAATCTAATGGTGCAATCATCCTCATCCATGTTTTGTTTCTTTCATTTGCTATTTTTATTATTTCCATGCCGAACCGCTCTAGGTACGGCCTGGAGTGCTTATCAGCAATTAATTTTGCTAGAGTTGTTTCGCTTATTTTGATTCCAGTACTTAATTCCAGGTCGCACCTATCTCGGTCATGCACCGGACACTCAAACAAGAGGTGTTGCACCGTTTCGGACACCTCGGGATCGCACACACATGACGGACTACATATCTTTTAGTTTGAACCTGTGGAGGTCCTGATGTTAGGATATTTACTGATAGAAATGTGATAGTGTATGTACGGTTCAGTTTAAATCAGTGACTCAGTGTCGTGTGTTAATAATTTATATAATATTTTTATTACATACATCATTATAATATTAATAAAGGCTCGCTCGTTACCTAAACTTATAGATAACATAGATATAAGACGGTATCGTAGTAGTGTGTATCAACAAGGTCCCGGTCGCGTCACATATCGATCAAACAATTAATCGCCTCAGTCCGGAGCGCGCACAGCACATTGTCTCGTTCATTGTGCGCGCCAATTAGCCGGTCACCTTAATACACAGCTAGCGGCGGATGATAACGATATCACCAACAAATTGAGCGCAAACCGATCGCTATCGTGTGAACAATGCCGGCCAATCGGCAGCTACGATCTACTGAGCCCGCCATTGGCCGTCACTGGCCGTCACTGGCCGCCATTGGCCGTCACTGGCCGAGAGCGGCCACCGGCGCACGCGCACAATGCACTGAAATCTGAAACTCGGGTTTCGGATGCCACATTCGATCCGGCTCGAAGGACCATTATTTCAGTCGCCATTGTGGTTACATCGCCAGCACGTAGACGATTGGTCATGGACTCAAACTTTACACTTTAATATTTACTTTTACGAGAGACCACCCCCCATCTGGGAGTCGGGACCCTCGACCGACCGACCGACCGACCGACTTACATACATACATGTATATACATAGTCGTGTGTAACATGAGACCAGCACCGTGCACGGTAGGCTTACATGAACTAATCAGTTAACTTAAAAGATTCACCAGACAGTTTATAATGTAGCCGACCAAAATGAATACCTTCGACTTGAGCATTACATTGTTCATAATTGAAGGAGGTTTAGAGACAATGGATCGATAGGAAATTATCGTGCGGCCCATTAGTGAGGCGACCCTGACCACGACAGATGATAAAATAGGGAATACGAGGGAGAAGGAGGGAGGGGGAGGGGCGGGGGGGCCACCGGGGACGACGTAATGACCGGTGTGGACATACATACATGTAGCTGAATTAAACCATTAATATATGTATGTAGGTTTATTACACAGTGTCAGGCAAGCGGCTCTCACCACCCACTATATTCAGAATTAAATAAGCTGCTGTCTCTCTTTAAATTGTTGTTTATTAAATAAATTACCAGATCAGATTTTAAAGGTTCCGCGTTGAAGGCATTCGTTGAATTATATGTCCTTCAAAAAGAAGGTAGTTTATCATTAGCTCGAGGCATCTTTTTAGTAAACAATAATCTTCTTCTTCTTCCTGGCAATTTACCAGCTTTAGCCAGGGTCTGCCTTACATGTTGTGAATAGTTTTGGCTAGTTGTTTTTACGACCGGCCGCCTGCCTGACATAAACCCTCTTTGGGAATGCATTAATCACCACGCTGGCTCAAGACGGGTTGGTGATTTCAAACTTATAATTGTAAAATTATATGTCCAGGTTTCCTCACGATGTTTTCCTTGATCGTCTGTCAGTGGTGGCTAAATACTCTCAGAAAGTACATATAATTCGGAAAAATCACATTGGTACTTGCCAGGATTGAACCCGCGCCCTCATACTTGAGAGGCGGGCCTTTTAACCACTAGGCCACCACTGACTTAGTTAACAATAATATTGACAGCAAACTGCAACGGTCTGTACTTAATACTTTACTGAACCTAAAAGGACCCGCCTCTCGTTGCCGTGAGCGTGGGTTCGATCCTGGCCCGGGCAAGTACCAATGTGACTTTTCCGAGTCATATGTACTTTCTAAGAGTATTTAGACATCACTGATTAATGTTGATTCCCAAAAAGAGGCTTGATGTCGGGCAGGCGGCCGGTCGTAAAAACAAATAGCCAAAACTCACAACACGTAAGGCAGACCCTGGCCATAGCTGGGAAATTGCCAGGTAGAAGAAGTTACGGTAGTGTAAGCATTAAACCGTTAACATTAAATATTTACTAAATTCACTAAGGCCATCGAATCCTTTAAGATTTACGTTAGGTACATTTGTTTTATACAATAAGTATCTATGATTCTTAAAAAAATACTACCATTGAGTGAATAAAGTTAGTATAGCGTAGTTACCGGTGGTGTTCGAAACGTAACAATAATTGCATATAATTTTGATTTCAAATTGTTATACCACATAATATAATAATGTCATATTTTTACTCACAGCTGCTGATAAAGTTATATGACACGAATATTACACATAATATATTTTTTAATGATCCTTTATAATACTTCGTACAAACAGTGCGTCTGACAAATAATAAAGTAATAATTACATTTTAATTCCACTTTAATCTCATTATCTTTTTATGCTTTAACTAATTAATAAACTTTAGTGACGCTTACTTTAACAAGGACTGAAGGCGGCCTCTCGTCGAGGGGAGGTTTTTTGTTCGTATCATGACATTGTTTCGTCCTCAGCTGTTTTATAAATATTATTACTTTATTATAAGTAATTACTTATATTATAATACACTTGTTACTATAAAATACTTTAAAATATTGAACTTACTATTGTTATTTTCTTCACGGAAAGCAGGAAAAATCCAGATGTTACTAATATAATGTAGTTAAGCGTGTTTCTAAATTAAAATCAAAGTTCTAAACAGACTCGATCTATAGAGTGATGTAATGAGTGTTATAATCATTTATTAAATGAATTATAATACTCACAAGTCCCAGTCGTATGTCCGCGTGGTGAGTGTTTCTCCTCTAGTAACAATAAACTTTAATATCCCACACATGTTTGTCAAATTCTTTAATCAATGAACATTATACTCCACCCTCGTAATGAGTTGTTTGTTCCGACCCTGATCCCGTTCTCCACACTCGGACCGTCCTCGTCTCCTCCTGTACTGAGGGGTCAGTATACAAATAAACATTGATTGAGTAGATTAATGTTACATTTAATTAGGATTTTTATTTTAGACAAGATGTTATGTTGAACCCTCGTACTCTCCTACCACCCTGACCGTTACATATTTGTGTCAAGTCGTCTGTTATATAAGCATGTCCTTAATGTATGTATTTCTTATTATATGTTAAGCGGACCTCCCTCTCTTCAGTATCCGCACATGTCTCCTCGTTATAAGTCAGTCGTATCTATGTGTCTCTGTTGGCGGACGTCCGTCAGTCCGTTGTCTCGGTCGGGAGCGGGCCCGGCGACCGTCAGCGCTCCTCTATTCTGTGTCAATCTTATTATATTATGCGACTATTAACACTACGTTATGTGCTAATGAAGATATACATACTTACACCGCGTACTGCGGCGCTAATCTAATACACTATACAAAACTAACGGCTACATTCCTATAGCTGCATCTCATAAAACATTGCATGAGATACTATCTTCTAGATGTTTTTAAATAAGAATATTTGTTCTAGGAATGTTTGTTCTCCACTCTCACTTTGTTCATTATCTTTCCGATACTTGTCTATTGACTGACCGATGGAGTGATTCATTGATTCGAGTCTTCGATTTATTAAATTAATATTAATAAATTGTTTTAACTGTCACTGTAACCGAGGAACGGATTCCAAGTTAGTTTCTTAATAATAAAGTATAATGATAAATGTATCGGAGTCTCCGTATTGTAATATATTTGTTGTAATTCATTGTTATTTTCTACTAAACGTGGTCGTGACTGCTTCGCTTCCAGTAAAGGAACTGTCCTGTCCTAGACTCCGACACGAAGCACTGCAGAACGTTTTATGTAATGAAGTATGGAGATTGATTGGTTCTTTAAAGATATTTATTGAAACTGAGACCGAGCAGCATTAGAACAGACACATTCAATTAGTACCTACTCTCATGAAGCAGGGAAACGATCTCTGACCTCTCCGAGAAATGAGAAGTTAAAGTATATAATAGATACATTTAAAGGAAAACTTCTAATACCAGCTGTCAATTAAAAAGTATTTATAAAACGCGGTCGACGCAACTTTAACTCGTTGACGCTTCTGTTGGAAAACTTCCTCGTTTCTATACAAGAATCATTTCAGAATGATTATAGTCAATGATCTTGGAGACTTTATATATTTTTGAAGATATAATAAACAATGATATAATATATAATAATGTGTGTTTTATAAGTGTATAGGATGTTGAAGATGCAGCAGTAGATGAAGGGTATCTTTGATGTATAGTGTAGTGAGGGGGGGGGCGCGCGCGAGGGCCGCCATCCATCAGGGGAGCCGGTGAGATGTTAATTAAAGATAGCGGCGACATCTGACGGCGGAGAACAGGACTTTCAAATTTGTTAGCTGACAGATGAGCAGCTGATAAAGTCCTCACCCACGACACCCGCCACGCCTCGCCTCGAGCTCGTTATAGAACATTCTGTTTAGACTCGCCACTCTCGACTTTTAATAAGAGCGGACACGTCTCTGCTGGGTGATAACGAGCCCGCTGTATGTAGTTATATCATTGGTTACAAACAACTAACGAAAGACAATACACTATCTATGAAGATCTACAACACAACATTTTTTTTTAATTTACAGAATATGTTTTCGGTCAAACCGAGAAGAATAAAGATTAAACTAATTACGTTAGGATTAATAAAAATTATTGTCACAAACGGATTGTAAAACAGCTTTTCTTTTAACGAGCATTTCATGGACCGTGAAGTTACTTTTTTTCTATTTGTTCTATTTCTTACATATAATAAGAGTGTTGTATTATTAAACACCACGCCAACCCGCAGTCGTCTCTGTGTAACTGTTTCCGCGTCACGTTATAATTGCAGGCGCAGACCGCAGCCCGCTCACATCGCTATCAGATTTATTGTCGATTTTTTTCTAAACTATCTATCAGAGGATCGTGAGCGGTCGCCGTGAGCATCGCATTACCTTAATTAATCTAATGAAAGCACTCGTTGTCCGTGTGTCCGTCCGTCCGTCTGTCCGTGCGTCCACTTTCATTAAAACATTGATTTATATGAGCCATGTTTGATTTATGTCACTTCGCTTTCACGCCTGAATGCGCTCAATTAGATACGTGAATATATTGATGTGTGTTTTATAATCGTTGTGGCGATACACTAATAACAGAAACGATTACATTAATAAAATCTCACTATATTAGTTATTTATTTACCTGTTAAATCGTGTCCTATTCATACGTGTGTGTGTGTTCGTTATCTCCGTAGCCGGTCCGTCCGTGTTCCCCGGGTGTGGATTCCCTTCCTGCTGCATATCGTATCGAGCATCTTTAATCTAAATCACGATATCGGATCGCACGGCTCACGTCTCGTCGTCGTGCCGTTCCCCTACATGTATTACCGTACCGATGCGCCCGCGCATGTACCCTCAGCGAACATCTTCTAATTCCTGTTACATCTCCACGTTTTGTTTATTATCCTTTTGTTTCATTATTAACGTTACTTGTCGTCGACTGCACACACACACACACACACACACACACACACACATACAGAGTTTTAATAGTTTGATTGTTCAATTGTGTTTTTAAGAAAATTAATAGTACGGACTGAATTTAAGTTAGAGAGACGATTGAGTTAGTTTAATTACCAAATTCATAGTATTTTTGTATATTGAGTGAGTGAGTACAACTTGCTGCACGGTCTTGTTCATGGCAGAAGGTTCAGTTGGAGCTGGTTCTCTCATGTCGTAAATTATAAATTAATTAGAGTCATTGTAACAGTATCACGAGGAGGCTCATGATAATACATTGTTGTGTCTTAAATTCATTAATCTCTTGATGATCTCTGTACTGTGTGTAAGTGGCAGTTATTAGTAAAAATAGGTTTTAAGTTCTCAGATGTATAATAAATGTGGGTTCATTGACCGCTGATGGACAGACGTCTTAGACAGACGGCTAATAATACGATAGGTAAAGTGATTAATAGAGACACTGACCGGTGACGACGAACACTCGGCCCTCGGAGAGGTCTCACACATTTATACACATAGTACTGGGGGGTTAATAATAATACATAAAGTAAAAATAAGTATTCATTACAAATAAAATAATTTTCTAAGTAACAGCGAAGTCCATATATATTTCTTAAAATTCAGTTTCCTTAGTATCATCAGAGTGGTCCATACATGTGACACACACACAATGTAACTAGTGACTTAGTCTGTATATTAAAAGAATAAAGAACGACGCGACACATCCTAGTCTATTTAATAAGTATATAAGTTAATTAGTTCGTGTTAATAAAGCAAGGCCTTGAAGAGTACGAGAGGTTGTGGTAGGATCATAGTTTCATATACCTAATATGAGATGATATGTTTCAACTGGATGACTTGTTTGTGTATTGTAACATTATATACAACACACATGTACCATAATTTAACATTTTTAATGAGCCGTGTGTCGGTAGCCGGCCCGCGACCCCCGACCTCCAGTTCTTTCATTACATCTGAACCTATTAAGTTTACTGGAGACGGTCTATCTGTGGACGTGTATTAAGTTTCATTTTAATACATTCAATTTAATTATTGTCTTTTTTTTTATTCCAGCCGAGGACATTTATTGAATTCATTAGAAAACATGTTTGTTGTTTAAATGTTTCCAACATTCCTATGAAGAATTCCTAGACCGCGGTCTGGTTGAGAATTCTGTACAATACCTACCGTCCCTAACACTAGTGGTTATATATTTTAAACTATCCTTTATCATTGTCATCGTTCGGTTATATCCAATCTCTATAATTATCAATTAATATAATCTCATTAACTCTAATTCTATATATATTGAGTATTAACTACGAGTAGTAACAGTATCTCCAACACATTCGGCCCCCTTCGGTCGTAGCTCGTGAGTCAAATTCTCGGAATCCCTTTGTTTATCTTAATTGGTTCGCATATTTCGTTCTCATTAAAATAATTTCGGGACTATAAATAAAGTGTTTTTATCTCAGTGTATATATAACCCGCCCGCGCCGCTGTCCGTCCCCTCGACCGTCTCTTATCAGCTACTCGCTGGTCCTCTGTTCTCGTTCGTCAGAACACCTTATAATAATGTAAACCTTTTAATTCCTAATCGCTTTGTTAATTTACATTTTATTTATAAAACTAATTCAATCTATAATCTGTGAGTTTTGTTCTTGTTGCCCGTGTTTGTTTTCGTCCCGGGTTCGACCTCTTTAACCCATCTCGTCTCGTCTCGAGTGAGTAAAACATTAATAATATAATTTGTAATGATGAATAATATTCATTTACATATAATATTTATTCGATGACAGTCTTTAGATATTATTCTTTGTAAAGATTATGTATATAAACCTCCTTCAGCCGTCAACCGGCTCCCAGCTTCTAATATTCAATGTATGTATGTATGTATGTGTTTTTTCATATACAAATAAATCGTTATAATAATTATAATCAGTATATTCCTCGTCCGCTCCGTTTCATTAGACCGACCGTTCTCTTTAACATTTATTTTTTATCATTAAATTAATAATATTTTGATTCATCTCCGACGTATCAATTAAGTGCATTAGGCGATCTCTAATCCGGCGTACACCCGGCGACACGGACACACCGACACACCACCAGCAGGCGATACTGTGACTTATATCATACACATTACGGATCACGATGGAGTGAGTGAGTGCATTACAAGGTGTGTTAGTGTGTATTATAATAAGGAGGTCATGCACCTAGGATTACTTCCCGAATATTATAAGTCTGTTGTGTTCGTATCGCTTGTCAGCGATGTAGTTCAAATATAATTTATTCAATATTATACTATTTAAAATTTGGTAACTATTTTAATATTACTAACATCATCACAATTCAGTCACTACTCGTTTTTACTGCTACTATTTCCTCTGTAATAGGCTTTATAAAAAAATCCTATTAATGATTAAATATCCAAAACCTTTAAGAACCGCTGTCTCAGATTTAAAGTCTAATATAAAAGTCCAGCCGTCACACGTCCCACACACGGTCTGTCAGTCCGAGGAGGGATTATAGAAGACGGACACACATGAGATCACATCTGAGGATTTAACATGAGACTTAAGTATTGATAACAGAACACACATGAGAAATATACAGTTATAATAGTAAGGTTCATATGTCAAGGACAACCAGCCGCCCCTCATTGTAATTTCATTATATTGAGAAAAGTCTTACACACTGACGACGTTGCATTGTTTAAAAATACTCAACTAGGAACAGTTGTGAATGTTTTTTGACAAATTACTTCGATGTTTGAGAAACTTCTACATTTTTCAAACGCCATTTATATTTTGATAACATTAGGAAACTAGGTATATTATTTTACTTCATTAATAAATATTATTTGTATCAGTTTTTTCTTGTTTAAGAATATATTCTACGTGATACAGCTTGTTGTTAATAGTTATAGCAATCATTTAAATATAAATAAATATTATTGAGAAAACTTAGAACATAATTATGTTTTAAATAGTCACATTACAGACTGTCTCAGGCTTGAAGGAACAAAGTGAAATAAATAAAAGTAGACTTAAACAGAACCTATACTTCATGTATGGGGGTGAAATTGTTTGAGCAATTTTTATAATTATACGAGTATATACTTTGTGGTACGAACGTCATTATAAGATTTTTTTGATTTATTATTTTTATAGACACAACGGGTAAAAACAAATTAATAATGAATTGTTTCATGTATAGAGAAAAACATTGTGCTTTTTACTCATTAGTTTATGTTGGACTTGTAAGTAACAACAAGTAACAAGTGTACTACACTCACTGTCATCAACATGTTACATTTTTTTAAGATCATTGAGTTGTATGTATATACAGGACGGACGGACGGACTCGTTCAAATATCATTATAACTAATTGTTCATGTCCAGACTTGATTTGAGTTCTGTTTCTCTTTCACTCTTACACATTACTCATCGAGGAAACATGCAGGAATCTACGAACAGACTCTGAACATCACGATACAAGAAATATAACAAAAACGCTTTATGAATCTGCCGTGTTTTATTTTGATCCGGATTATTTTTATGTAGTCTGTAAAAACATATAACATGATTTTATTCTGCTCCCTGTATAGAGTAGTGTTCCTCTCGCTTATAAACCAAGTGTCAGGAGTCACTTGTCAAGACGAACTGATGAACACTTTGTAAAAATATATACACTCAGCCTTGCGTTGAAGTCTTTTGAAACAGAACATTACTGTGAGGAATCACATATATTTATATTATTGACTTGGAAATATAAAGATAAGAGATGTAGCCACCCACGTGAGGAGCGTGTCTTACCTAAGAGATATATGTATATTAATATACTTATATATATTATATATATATATATATATATATATAAGTATATTAATGTAATGTTAATGTATGTATGTCTGTCTGTCTCCGAGCGGCTCCCGAGTTACTCATTAATAGGAGGTTATCGCGATTCATCAATATATATGTTTGAACACAGCTCACGGGTCATTAACATATTATTATAATAATTAACTGTTTAATGCTAGCTCGTGAGAGAGAGAAGACGGACGACGATACATATTGTTGTGACATAATGACATATTAAAAACATATACATTTTGTTGTTGGGAGTCTGTTTGGTTTAAGACAATAAAAAATTCAAAAGTCGCTCTCATCTTTATACGTTTATAATATTTTCAAAGAGTGTATATACTCATATTTTTTAAATATTCCTTCTCCATACTTATACCTACACAATATATTTTAATAAAGTCACGTTGAATCCAAAAGATTCTACAAGTAATTTCGCAGTTTTTAATCTTACCGCGGCATAAACTTACAACTTATTTTTGTTCTGGTATACTTTATTTCTTTGTAGGGAGCTGCCTTTGAAGTTACATAAAATAATATTCTCTTATAGTTACTTATTGATTGATGATTTAATGAAGAAGTTAACGCTGCATACAATTTAAACTCTTTATCTAAAATAAGGAGGAGCTTTAATAGAAAATGTACATATAATAAGAATACAAAGGCTACAAGTTTATTGTACCTGTAGAGGTAGAAAGATATAAACATTTCTTATTATTTATAATCTAAATTATAAAACTAAATTGTTAGTAACATCAAAAATATAAAGTTTTCAGAGACCTTTTTTTCAGAGAAGTTTTTGTAAGTGGTCAACAACAGATAACATGTAGAGAGAATCACTTTAAAATATGAGATATTTTTTTGTATGCTTAAACCGTAAATAAGTAAAATTATTTCTTTTAAATCTGCTAGATATATACTATATTTTAATAAATTATTCTTCGAAAACATAAATAACTACTCGGATTACTTATTTAATTTGTCTCTTAATCAAAAACACTCGTCGCTTCCGAGCTGAAAATTCCTTCATCCTGTGAACAAGGGCCGATATATTAATATATATAAATACATACATTTGTACATGTTTACACAGCGAAAATAACTGCTAAAACCTCACTACGAAAATATTTCTTACAAAAAATAAAAAACATGATTATTCGATTCATTCGCGTTTTATATTAGTTTTTCTGTTTTATTTATGTTACTAACACTAACTGGTCGCTCTCACTGAGTCGTCTTCATTTATATATTGTAATAAATGTCCACTATCATACGTATATAATGTTATTGATGTCAGTGTATGTATGTATGTCTGTCAGAGCGTGTAAGGTGTGCTCGTGTTGTCCTCACGTGTGATGTAACACGTTGAGTCTCGATGTTCCTGATAGTATCGCACGTGGGAGAAGACCGAGTTCACACGTCCTCACAGCTGACCTCCTACACGACCACACGACCACACGACCATACCTTACTGTGACCACCAACATGTTAACAAGATTACCCACGGACGGTCGAGAGGCGGGACGGTACAATGATTGTACGGAAACAATTATAGATCACCAATCCTCAATATCTATTAGAGACATAACAACTAGTTAAATATTTCATTAAAATAAAATGCAAAAAAGTATATTGTACAGTGTTAGTAACAGTCTGTAATCGTGTGTCGTGTTGTTGCTCAGTAACACTCACCGAGACAGTTCCAATCGACGGCCGTTGAGATAGAGATCACTATTACCAGCGACATTACGATGGAGAGCGTACAGGCCGCGGCTGGAGGCGTCCTGCGTCCTCACACAAATACATCCAACTCCAAATCGATACTTACGTCGTATGAGATGTCGAGATACCGACCGTAATATATACTGTACTTACACAAATACTCACCTCGAGTTACGATACATCGCCAGATACGAGCTGGTCTGTGTATGACACCTACAGCGACTATTATTATTATGTAAGGTTTATGTATGTAAGTGAAGTCTCCGTGAACACATAAAGAACGTTCTTCATCTCCTGTATGATTGTCAGTGACAGTAAATACAATCTGTATAGGTATCAGGTATGTGTGTCGAGGGCTTCCATTAACGAACTGGTCAAATACCTAACAGAAATCAAACAAAGACAATTTTTTCTTTGTCTGGCGAGCGAGGACTCGCGGAGATTTGAGCCGGCCGGTCGCAAAAACTGGTACAACGTTGAGAGAGGTAACAACCAGTCGGGAGGAGTGAACATACCACGCTCTAATACAGAGACATACATGGAAAAAAAATTATCATATGACTTATACTAGAATGATTATTACTTAATATTCTGAACATAAGTTTGTTAATTTTTTTCGTATTACTTTAGATTTTTTACAAACTAGCTCAAAAAATCTGGTAGTTTTGATTTCAGTGTAAGCCCGATCCTACGCGGGGCGCGGCACCTGCACCCGGCGCAGGCCGTCGAACCTCTACCTGCCTCTCCCTGCCCCCCCCCCCCCCTCCCCCGCCCCTGCCCCTGCTCCCTGCTCCCCGCCCCCCTGGTCCGCACGCTCTCACGCGATCCACCACACGTTATTGCCAATAAACCCTCGCCCCAGATGCTGCTCACGTGACCCGATCAAATCCCCGGATCGCTCCACTAATACTTTTCTTTTGTTTGTGTCCGTACTGTATCGAGTCCCTTCTGTTTTGTTTCGTTTTGTTTGAGGTTCGTTTATTTCGCGAGCAGTAGACGTTATTATCATTTCATTGTAACTATTAACATCGAGCCTCTTTTTTTCTTCTGTATATGATCCCTTATGTATATTATGTATATTAATGGATGTTGAAGGGTATATAGATCCCGGTTGTATCAGGTAACTGTTCGTATGGGATGTGTTCTGTTCTTGTTGGAGCGGGAGTAGGAATTAAAAGTTGAACAGATGACATAACATAGAAAAACTTGTTAATACTACCGGCTCAATACACTTACACAACCTTGTATTTAAAAAAAGGAAAATATAAAGCTTTTAAAAAGTTAATCCGTTTTGTTTAGATATTATGGAGTGTAAAAAAACATTCCACCAAAACAGCAGAGGCAGCTGCTGTGGGTTGTTCACATTAATAATTACTAAACACATTTCCTTCAAATAGTTCATATTCAAGACGATCTCAACAGACGCCTTGTACGAAGCGTAACAGTTAAAAGTAATTTAATTTTCTTTAAAGTTTAGTTGTTCCTGAATCCGAGGCTCTGTAAAGTTTAATTTCGCTCACAATGGGTCACTGGAAGGGGTTAATTAAAGAGTTATTTTTTGCGTGCGTATGATAGAGAGGCTCTCGGTCCGCGCCACGCCGCTCGTAAACGTTCACATTTAATTTGTTACCGCTCCCATCCACCGCCGCTAGGGTTGAACCCTCACACTATTATATTATATAGGAATAATACACACTCCACTAATAATACGGCCACATTAACAAACGTATAGTAATAAATCACTAGAGGACTGCAATGTGATTAACACGAAGACTTGAATACACTTTATTTAAAAGTAAATATTATAATTGCGGCGACATCACAGGTGCTTACGTCTTTGGATGTACACTTTCAAAACTACGTTATACATATTCTTCTTCTCCTGGCAATTTCCCAGCTTTAGTCAGGGTCTTACGTTATACATATTATATTAAAGTTAATAATATAAAAAAAAACTTTAAACTTTTGTCACATTTATGATACATGAATATAAAATCGTCATTGTAAAAAAAAATATTCAAAAATAATCTAAGTAGCGAATCGTTGTCAACCCTAATAAAAAAGCGAGTTCTCGAACGTAGCGCGTAATCGAATTTATTAAAAGCGAACGGGGGCAGCACAAAAACAGCCTTTGTATCTAATAACAACTACAGAGCGATGACGGGACGGGACGGGACGGAACCTAAAGGGTCGGGACGGGTCGGGACGGGACAGGGACGGGACGGGACGGGACAGGACGGGACAGGGACGGGACAGGGTGCCGAACTATCATCAACTCAATTAGATCATACAAAAGAAAACGTGACGCAACGAACGAATCTGACATTCAAGTATTTGTGACTCGCAGTTACTGTGTCCGCACAGCTCTGATATAAAAGATTTTGTTCAAATTCACAGCAGATAATATTAATATTTACATAGTTACATTTTAATAATGTTACGTAACAAGGACTGAGAATGAATGTGTTAAATTGATTATTATTTTCCTTTTAATGAGTACTGATACAGTCAGCACGGCACGGCACAAGTCACATCGAGTAACATTCTATATAAGAACAGATATTAAAGGTAACAAATTTAGCAATGATTAATAAACATTAGTCGGTACTCGGCAGTAACAGAGAGTGTAGCGACAGGCGATCTAGCTGATAACAGGGGACGTGGCACTTCTCAAACTAGCAGCTCGGGACTTGTTGCTCAACCAGCAAATATAACAAGTACTGATACATCGCCATAACATAGATAATACTGAAACTTAATAATATGATTGTTTTATAAACTTTATTTAAACTGTTAATACACAGTAGGTACAGCGAACTGAGGGCAAGGAAAATGTTTTGTTACAAAACGTGTATGTTTATAATATGATCGTATGACGTCCTGATAATCGAAACGATCGATTTCAGATTATTTACGAGCTCCTCGGTCTCGCGTGGTCACAACGAGGAACACGACCACCCGCACTCCCGCTCAGAGGAACAACCATACGTCGACGAGGGAACACTGTCACTACATACTAACTGATAACACATTGTATGAAATAATACTAATACTAACTTCATCGTCAACATATCATACATTGTGAACCGAGTGGTGTCAGTAGCCGGCTGAAATAGATATCAAATTACAACAGGGAGCTACTTAAGAGTCATTTATCTGAACGTAACAAATAAATTCCAAGCCGATGACTTCATTAAACCGTCCACTGACTGCACAAATCAGAAGAAACGAACATCCCTCTGACCGAAGTCAGTACGAGGCGACCCACACTGATCCAAGATAGACCCGTCCTCATGCTGCTGAGATCACTTTATACGAGAGATCTGTTTTATTCAGCACAAAGCACTACGGAGCGGCGACCGTTGGCTTTCGACAGGACAACCTTCGGAAGGATTTATTAGAGAGGCACCGGCCGTCTCCCCGTAAGGAGGCTGAGATGCTATCTCGATGTATAGACTCCATTAGGGCCTATCGAGAACTGTGACGTCGGAAGCCGATACTATCTTATCGATCGGGCCGTATTAAAATGTAAATGAGCCTGTCTATTGATCTGGGGAATTAACAGCACCTGCGGAACTGTTGGCTCATACAGGGTTGATTACTGGCTCATGACGATGTGACTATGTTGGTGATGAGTGAGCGAGAGACCCGCACCAGGCCAGAAGGTCAGAGGAAGGTCGTGTGAGGAGCGAGCGGGTCACTCATCTGACTGCATCAGTGACCGTCTCCGTTCATATCAATAATACTTAATAATTATAGTGTCGATTGTTTTTTATGGTAAACGACATACAAGATCTTCGAATATGTCATTAGTCAATTGTAATACACCTTGTACACATACATGTTATAAGAACTCGACTAACCCTATTTTAAATGTTATTCCTATTCTAATCCTATTGTTAATATATTTCACGTTTTCGAATTGTATTTGCTCTAAATCTGGTATTCGAAGCGGAAAATTGAGTTTATCGTAAACAAAGTGTTAACAAGCGGAGCGCAGCCGTCTACTAGGAGACTTTAATAGTTGAGTGGTAATAAAAGGCCAGTAGCCAATTTGCGGGTTTGGATCAATGGAGCCGCCACTACACGACACGAGGACAGGCGGCGGCGTGTTCACACGTCGACGGTGTGACGTGACGTGACGTGACGTGACGTGACGTGACGTGTTACCGACCGTGTCACCGTCATCACGAGCAGAGTAACACGAGCCGGCCGAGCGGGTCACTCACTCAAACTAAACTGAAGTGAAACAAATCGTTAACTCCTTTTGAGAGTAATGTATTCTGAATCATTATAGTTGGCGATAAGTTTAACAACTTTAATACATACAGTATATATAATATAGTATGAAATTATAATTTATACAATAGCAATTCATTTCAATATATCAATATAACTTTATATAAATTCGATCTAACTCACTCTCTCACTCACTGTGGCCCGGTTCATGGCGCTTCATTATGTTGGCTCGTATGTAATGGTCAAGGTATTTTGTACGTTGGCGCCTTTTTTCCTAAACTGAGAACATAAATCGTTGCGTGTCAGGTGGTCGACGGGAGAGGAGCTCGGAGGAGCTCCAGACCTGGGGATGGGGGAGGGGGGAGGGAGGTTCCGAGGAGCGGCTCATTAAAATACCTAAACGGAGTCAGGAGGACGCATCGCGACAACTCGTGAGAAAAGGGGACTAATTAAGCGAAAAGTTGAGTCAACATTGATAAACATTTTTAAAGTTTAGATAGCGACTGGCCGCTGATTTATTCCGTCCCCTTGACGTCTGCGTCCACATCCACTGTATTATTATCAGTTTATAAAGCTAAGTGTCTCTGAGACGGAAGCTACACTCTGAGTTTTTTCATTACTGACGATACTGAAACAGTACACTTTATTTTTTAACACTGAAGGAGTCATGATGTTTTTTTTTATATTTTGACCACTCGATAGTAGTAACAGACCATGGAACAGATTAGTTATAAAGTAACTTGTTGTTTTCATATTATCATTATACTAGGAGACATGTGTTATACAATATTATAACATAATAACGTCACGAGGTCGATGGTAGGTATATACATATATTAAGTGTAAGCCTCCTTACTCTTTATTAATGTGTGCTAACATTTCGTCTTTATAACTCGGTAGTATAAGTAAATATATTCGTTATGTAAATTGAGATGTTTCCCGAGTACGCGACGTCGTTTGATTAATGTCCCGGAGAGTTCCTGGGGGTCCATTAGCTGGTTAAGGCTCACCACAAACCTTCACACCACCACCACACCGACCTGACGTCCACGTCTTGGTAACATAACACAAAAAACGGAGAAATGTACGAAGCGATTCATTATTTTAAAGTTACTATAATTACATGTAATATATCAAGACTCTGTTGCCTATAATATTAATTGTTAACTTGTCTTCTAATATATTTTTGCTGGTATGTGATTTTCCTTATCAAGTAAAAGATCGGTATTGTAATGAAGACGTCACTTGCAGTGAGGTATTGAAGAGGAGGTACACAGAGGAGCGGGGCGGGGGGGGGGCGGTAATTTGTTAATCAGCCGTCGATGAATGGCTGATCATATAACATATTATACACACGGGCCGTCATTATAATGTTATATCAAAAGTCGTCGGTAATTTAATCCCTTAATGATTTAAGACTTTTAATACAAGTAATGTTTCTGTCGGCTCAAGATTTTACAACTTAATGACTTTCTTATCGCTGATGAACGTTGAAGTCTCATGAATTTCGGGATTTTTTCTACCATGTTTGGTATCCTGGGTGTGGGGTGAATGTCCTCCGTCCTGTCTCATGATATCCATCTTAAATCGATTATAATACATTCCAACTTAAGGACTCTACATTTATATTGTGTATTATACTTTTGTAGTTTTTAGATACGCTAATCTATATATATAACAATGAATCCCTTTTTCCCTTGGTCACGGCTTCACGCGTGAATGGCTGGACCGATTTCACTAATTCTTTTTTTGATGTATTTAGGATTAGGATGAGGAGAATTAGGAATAGGTTCTCTTGTAAGAAAAATTACGAAAATTACTAGAAAAAACCATTACTACAATACATATTACACTTTTTATGTGTATAAAATAATGTGTCACTGACAGTACCTAATATTCACATAGTTGCCATTATAGCAAAGAAAAAATTAAAACACATGCTCTGCAAATATATCGATCAGAGTCGGTCTGTGGCCGGAGTTGACATGTCTGTCGGGTCAGCTATATACTTAATAAAGAATTAACTAATTACTTAACTTCATTCAAATAAAAAGGTAACAGTTATTTCTACATTATAGGGCGGTACGAAATTCGCTGAGTCAGCTAGTACTAAATAAAATTAATATTTTCAGATGTACGTAAACTTTCTTTTGTTATATTAAACTACATACTCCCGACGTTTCTGTTATTTTGCAGAGGCCGTAATCTCGGACAGACTATATTAATATGGATGTCAGTTAGTCTTGTTACTTGTCATCTACAACCAATGATTTCTTAATTCCTTAGTGTACCGCTCCAGGTGGTCCAGGTCTCGACTTCTTGAGTTGTGGTCTCGGGTGTTACATATATACATTCCAGCTGTCTTCTCTGTTCACACTGGGATGTTTTATAATTGTTTCCATAGCTTCGCGGTTTAGTCTTAGTATGTATCTATCTTCCAGAGCGATGTTAACTACATATTTTTACTGTCCGAGTCATGTTCTGTCCCCTTCCTACCGATGCTAATCATTGTCTGTTCAATGAGAAATACTTAACTGTATCTTCTACCTGGCAATTTCCCAGCTATAGCCGGGCCAGGGTCTGCCTTTCATGTTGTGAATAGTTTTTGGCTATTTGTTTTTACGACCGGCCCTCCTGCCTGACATCAACCCTGCCTGACATCAACCCTCTTTTGGGAATCAACATTAATCAGTGATGTCTAAATACTCTTAGAAAGTACATATGATTCGGAAAAATCACAGTGGTACTTGCCCGGGCCAGGATCGAACCCGCGCCCTCGGTGACGAAAGGCGGGTCCTCTAACCACTGAGCCACCACTGACTTAAAACTTAACTGTATATAGTACTTAATACTGTACAAGTCTCATATAAAACATGTAAAATCCAATATCTTTATTTAACTCTATACCAGTATCCAATTCATGTTACAAACAACATGTTCATTTAGTACAGATCAACCTTGAGCTCATAATATTCGTGTGTGAGATAATTTTCTATATTATAACGACACTAACAAATCCGTTGTATTTTTAGTTAATGCGAGTGAGGCGAGTGGTCCTGGTCCGGCGCGACGCGGAAACCGCTATCAGAGGATGCGCGTGCGCCGATAACTGTTGTTATTATCTAATAGGACATGTTTGAAATGTGGATTATATTATATGAAGCACGTACCACAATAATATCACCAAATAACAATTTAATCACATGAAAAATATTTTGATCACATTAAAACGAGTACATACTACAGTAAATGAGAATATATCACAGTTGAAGTATCCTCACTCACCGGGACCGGCCGAGTTGAGACTTGAGACACATGAGAGAGAGGGATGTAGCTTAGATTTTGGTTTTGTTTCGCAATCTCGGCTTGGGAGCTTTAGACGCTAGAATCAGATTATTAATAGTACTAGAAATATTGAATTTAATCATTTAAATGTTTGAAACTCTTAATAGTTTTAATATACCGAAATAAATATTTCTTGAGCTTGAAAGTTATTGTATATACGTGTTAAGTTGGCTAGTTAGTTCGCTTAAACAACACTCAAAAGAGGACTGAAAAAAAAAACAACAAATATAACATAACTTAGAAAAACATTTAAATTAGTAATATCGTTTAATTTTAAGATATTTGATGACATAACACAATTTTTCTTATATGTATGTATGTTTCCAGAGTAGCGAGTCAAAAGGTTTTAAATCTGCTTGTTGTTATATCCGTGTTAACTGTCGGCTCGACTCGTGGAGACAACGTTCATTAATGATTCGTGGAAATGAAACACTTAAAAATTCCAAAACATTAGTTTGAGTCATACGAATTAGGCTAAGAATTATTATTCATTACTCAGCTATGTCGAGTTAGAATAAAAAAACTAACACATTAATAATAATTTATTTATTATAAAAATACTGTAATGTTTAATTAAACATTACATTTGATAGTCGGCGACCGTTCCTGAGCACTAGACACCTGCGGCCGCCTCACTCGACACTGTTACCGAGAATTAAAAATTATAAATTAATATGTTGTCATTAATTAGAAGGTTCTCGGGTCGTGGTCTTGTTTTAAAGAATTTCTATCGACACGCCTATTAATTATGATATACCATAAACGACGCGATCCTGATTTAAACGAGCCCGGCCCGGAGACACACACCACAGAGACTTGTTTATTTTATTAACACTTGTCCAATTTGAAACAGTAATTATGAGATAAATGAACTATTTCGAGACAGCGACCCCCTTGTGGTTGGTTATTACTCAGATTTAACTTTTAATTGTCTCTAATAATTGTAATGTCATACATAACGCGAAAACGAATTATTCTAAAGTAGACGAAACAAGAAAACATTACAATTAGATTCATAAACAATAAGAATTAGTCGCAGGGATAATAAAGTTGTTATAACTTTAGTTCCGACACAGGAAAATATGTACATCTTTTATGATGACTTCTTCTCCGATGACTTGTTTAATGAGTGGGAGAGCCAGGGAGTAGACCTTCATCAAGAACTGACGAAGAAAATAACTGACTAACATAGAGACAGGAAATGACATTACAAAGATCGGCTCGACGTTGCGAAAGTGTTCATGACGTTTATATGACAAATAATTTGGTGGTGAGAATATTAGCACCTGTCCGGAGCTGGTCGGTGGATGTGACATCCGGTGACGACCAACTAACTGTATATGATCTCACACCACGAGACTCCGAGACTCAGACTCAGACTCAGACTCACTCAGAGACTGAGACTGAGGCGGCCGTCGGCTGCGGACATTGTGTACAGTTAGAATTACATTGACTTGTGTTTTAACACATGTCCGCTAATGCTGTGTGTTATTATTGGTTTATTAGAGGTTGTTAAGTTGTTTGATGCGTTTATCTCGTCCCTCACTGACGTTGTAGAATGTTGCTAAAAACTTTGATGTTTTGAAATATACATATATTTTTATTATTGTACCAACAAACAGAGTGTGGTGGAGAACAGAACAAAGATGTTTATCATCAGTGACCGGTGAACTAATGTGTTCAAAAGTTCAATAAACCTTCTATCGATGCATGTGTACTTAATATGTAACTAAACGACCTGTTGCTTATAATTTATAAATATTGTTTTATAAAGTAAAGTATATCATACTCATTTTCGTATATTATTCAACTTGTTGAACCCACTAGATGTATATATTTATTTTGGCGAGTTGTACCTACAGCCATCCAACAGCCGTCTCTTGTAAACCTGTTAACCGTCTCACCGCTCAGTAATTAGTCTGCGCGGGCGCATGCGATCCCGACACGTACCCCCCCTCCCCCCACCCCCCTACCATCACATACATACACGCACGCACACACTCACACATGCAACATATAATATATCTACAGCGAATTCCTTGTTTGAACTTGATTTTATTTTAACATCATTACGAAACATTAAAAACGGATGAAAAATATAGACGGTCTTGATTTTAGAAGCGATGCATTTGATAAGTGTTTAAGTTCTGTGTTTATATTTTATTATAACAGTCTCATCACTGTTATAGTCAATCGTATTGTATTAATACTAACTGACTCTCCACGGCTCAGTTCGGAACTTCAGCCAGATAATTACAACTTGAACCTTGATTTATATTGTATTCTTTCTTTAGCGCGTCCGTTGCTATTCTCTAATAATATAAATGCATCGTTTGTTCGCAACTATATAGTGGAGCTGTAATAAATAGCTGTTACAAGTGAAGCAGCTCCACAGCGAGCCGTTTCAAATGAAGCTCCATCCAGTTTAATGAAGCTCATCATAACATGATCATTACGAGGTCTCGGAGTCCGGGCGAGGCTCCGTCAGAGGGATCCTCGTTATATACCGTTAGTAGAGACGCGACCTCGCCGCGAGCTGGACCTCCACCCCACCCCCCCCCCCGCCCCGCACATGCCCGCTATTTGTCAAAATAAACTGATACATTTCCAACCACAGCAAACCCACAAGCTAAATATGACATTCGACCTTATCGGCGGTGAATTAGAGTCCGTTTTGCATCAAATATAATTGTTATTTTGCCGTGTGAAAGAAGTTTTTTCGGAGCGAACCCCCGCTGAGAGATGGATTGCGAGGTTTCGCGAGGAAATAAAATGCTCTCCTCTGATGAATGTGTCTAACGCGCTGCTGCCAGCTAGGAACATTTATTGCATTCAGTTTTATTACTTTATGTCATTCAAATGTTAAAACTTTCCACTCGATTACTCTATCACTTTATATCAAATTAAAAGTACAATATTTTACCCGCGGTGGATCCCAAGATTAATATATTTTTTTATTATAATACAGGTATTAAAATCTTAAATTTATCTTTGGACACAAACGTTATAAGTAAAACCCGACGTGGTGACTGCAAAATGCTTGGGTGTTATGTTCTGATTAATTCGATGACAAAAAATGACAGGTGCGGACATCCGCCCGCCGGCCGCCGAACTAAAACTGGTGATGACTCTCACCCCTCACCCCTCGTCCCTCTCCTTCACCCTTCACTCACTTATGTCTCAAGTTATAAAATCTGTCAATTACATATTTGCATTGTGATCGTCCTCCTCGGATACTGTACTTTCGGCGCCCTAAGTTCATCGCTTCATTGAAATTAAACTGTGAAAAATATATTAGTTTTTTATATCATCTGTTTAGTTTTTTGTTATTGTCTATTTATTTTCCATAACGCGAGTACTGTCCCGAGTATCTTACTCAGAGTCGGTCATTATATTATTTTCTCCCGGCAGACGGATCACTGACTCGTAACTCAAAGGCTATCGTTATTTATTAAGGCTCTGTAACAAATGAACCACCGAAGCGAGGTCGTCGTACATTTTCCATTATTCTGTAACATTTATTAATAACAGTCCATCAGGAGGGGCGAGCGTGGCCCGGGTCCAGGAGACCGGAGACCGGAGGATGGAGGAGGGAGCCCCCGCACTATTAATAACAGGTTGGAAATATCTGCAGGAGAAAATGCAATTTATATTTTGAATTAAATCTTAAGTTATTAACTAACTACATTAATAATGACTTCAACACAATACCATTTGTAAGGACGTCAACAAAGAGCCGAGTTTATTTGTTTATAATCTGTCTATACGTATATAAAAAATACAAGTGTAACGAAAACCGAAAAATACTTAAATATCGGACATCAGACAAGGTTGTTTTGAATATAATTGTTTCATGTAAAATATGTTTTTTCAATATTCCAAAAGGACGGAACAGTTTTATAATGCCCTCCAACATCCACTGGTGGTCTTCGGTTTTCTTCTTGATCGCTTTCATAATGTAAATCTCGTATTTCTCATTAGTTTTTATGAAGTTTCCCAAAAGGAAATGAAAACAGTTTATAAGTTAATGCACCGTCAGTGATGCTGTGCATTATATTAGCGTACCATCTCAACGGTATCTAACAGTCCGTCAGACGTGCATGTAATTTGTGCAGATTGAAATTTGTTCCCGTAATATATGGGACTTGGCAAATGCGTTCCGTTACAATGTGATCGAAGGAGGTCGGTGTCGTCACTCCTCCACCTAATAAAACAATGTGCTTCCTTGTTTACCGTGTATAAAATTCAGATGCCATTGCCTACTTCATCTTCTATTCAGTGTGCTTTTGATATTCATACATCATGTTTAAATCGAAATCATCATGTTCTACTAGTTCTATTGAATGCGAGTCGCTGAAGGATGTTCTCGATGGAAGTCGTCGGATCATTTAGATCAGAATGTATCCACGTCAGCAGTATACTTCATCAAACATTGCAATGATTCATTTGGTCGTGGGAGGTGGTACAACATGCCGCTATCTGTATGTGAGCTAATATTAAGAAGTATGGTATTATTAATATGAAGTGCTGGCGGCGGGGGCTCGTTAAACAAACTCATTGTAATGTACTCCACTATAACGCTGTGTACACATGTCATGATCCACTCCCTCCATCCTTCTGTTCTTATGTCACACCAGAGGGACCGGCGCGGGCGACTGACTACACTGATTCTCTCTCTCTCTATTTCATTTGTCACATACAGATGTCATAAAATATGTCAATTTATCCCGTTGTTATAATATAACAGGAGAAAAGATAACAGCAGCTTGTAGATACAGATGTCGACACAGTGTGGAAAAATAAATCCAGTTAGGGTTACTATTATTATTGATAAAAATTTTAAGTTCCATTAAAAAAACGTAAAGGTGACGCTGTTGTATGATGATATGTATATTTGAAGCGGCGATGAGTTTTAAATAATATAAAATTATTGAAGTCCAATGTTAAGTCGTCGTCTTTTTTCTAAAAATGTAATGACAATTTATAAAAAATAAATATTATATCTTTAATTGGTTTGAGAATCATGTTGCAGACAGATACATGTCGTAAAAATATATGAATGTACAGAAAACAGTTCGCAATCCAGAACACGCTCATAAAAACAAGCTATTGAAAATATGAATGTTGCATTAGGATTGAGAAACAGAGGCGCGACCACGACCAGCGACCAGCGACCAGCGAGAGACAAGCCGACGAGCGACGGATCAAACGATAACTTGGACTCGTATAGATAAATTATTATTAAGGATTTCAATATTGACGACACAAGAACCTCTTTATTAACATTTTTCTTTACTGAAACCTCAGGAAAATGAAATAAAGTACTTAAATCTTAAAGCTTTTTATGTTCAAACCTTATGCTTAATTACTGCACCTCAATATACACCTCTTGATGATAGAAAAAATAGAACTTTTAAATGTTACTAAAAATATATATATATGTGTGGTATTATGAAGGCGATGCAGTGACCACTGTAGACTTGAGTTTAATATTATTTACAAGACAATAAGAAAGTTATATGACTGTAGAGAATAAACTTCAAACATATTAAGTTTTGAACGTGTCCAGTCTACTATATATGATTGGATATATTTTGTTTAGAAAATAAATAAAAAAGTTACGTGTGATTTTGGTAAAACTTGGAGCACGAAACTTACTAGGTTACATCAGAGACTAGGCTTATTTATTTGAAATACTACTAGAAGAGATGAAAGTATAAATATGCATTTTTTAATATAAAATGATTAAAAGCTGAATTAATCATAAATACTTGTTTATGAGAGATTAAAAGAGTTTTATGTCAGTTCGTCGGAATGTTTAATGGCTAATGAAGGAACATTAACTGTTGGGTTTCTCAAAAACGGAGTCAGTGGAAAGAAATATGTTACATAAAAATATTAATTGAACATTCTTAAAACATGAACGAATAGAAAAGACAAAATGACTTTTTTGGCACACGAAGGATAGAGTTAGTAATAAAGAGGTTTATGTATCATGTTACTGTTGGGATATAATTATCTTGAGTCCAGGTCGTGTCATAAGCTTCAATGAAGATAGTGAACACGTTGTCACTCAACATACCCGCCGCCACTCTGTCTGCACTTGTCTACTTGCATATTTCAAATATCATTAATTTTAAACCACAGGCGACTTTAAATCAAAAGTGATAAGAATCAGTTCGCATCGACAAGCCAGCGTCATTAGCGAGAGACCTCCGCCGGCGAGGTCCAGCAAAACATACATAATTATTTCTGTTTCCCTCAACTCAGCAGCTGCTCTACATCCAGCTCGACGCTGAGTGTTGAGTGGTTTATAAAGTGTGTGGAAGACAGACAACAGTCTTTATACGTTTTTTTATTTATATTTTACGGTCTGTGGACTGTTTTGTGCGACGATTCCTTAGCAAATCTAATGTTATAACATTGAAATCTGAGGGCCGTTTTTAAGTAATAATAAACAATTTTTTTTTCAATCTTATTTATACATCTAAAGTATATGGATCGTTCATCGATTAAGGAACAGCCCATTTTTAAATTTGTCGAAATCTGATAAAATAATAAACTTAATCTTATTTATATATCGAAAGTATATGGATCGTTCATCGATTCCCTTAAATTTGTCGGTTTTTTTTTTTAAGTTGGTTGATGAGTTCGTCGTAATATAATATATGAGCTCATCGCAGGAAGTTGTTATTGAATCGAGAACAGAAAAAACAAAAGGCAGGCTAACGAGGAACGAGTTATCATTTATAACGTGATAAAACATATTATGAAATACGAACATCGTTTTATTAACATTGAAAGAGCTCGCGATGTGTTCGATGCACCCGATCCCGCCCGCTAGTGTCCTCGCTATCTTAATTGTAACATCAACTGTGTACTGCGTCTGTAACGTCACATGTTCTCAATAACAAACAGACACACAGCAGACCTTTGGAGTCACTCGTGGCGACGGTGCTACAATTATCTTTTGACTCTTGAATATGATCCAAGTGACTACGCTTGGAGCGTTAGATGACACAAAGTGACAGAATAACAATAGGAACAAAAGAACATGAGGTAAGTTATATAAAACATTTGGTCTCAATGTATTCGGCGCGAGGTTGTCGTCAATGGGAAAGGAAGCATCTTTTTGCGTCGCATGTCCTGCGTCGAGACATGCTATCTTTTTTACTGGTGGCAATTACATCGAGGAGGATGAGAACGACGCTGTAGTGAGACCGGACCATCAGAACACAAGACGACTGTTCAACGAACATCATACAGATAGCTATGACATCTCTTATATTGTTTATTAATGTTTACCGTCTAGAAAGATATAAGTTTCTTTCATTCATTTTACAAGACGCTGTGAACAAGTTGATAGGCCTTCGTTAAACTTTACAGAACAAAACTAAAGTATCTGGTTTTGTTATTATTCTACTTTGAAAGCATATTTAAAAATTAAATGTTTGATTTTTAAAAGACATTCGAGAGCATTTAAATTTAAAAATAAAACATTCATTTTAAGAACAGTAAAAGAAATATGAAAGTATCGTAGGTTCCCACGACTGCGGCCATTATGTGTAAAGCGGGGCCTACACTTTCATATGTTTTACTTTATCGTGCAAAATGGTTTGATAGTGAAAATATTATTGCATTCATTAAAAACGAGTATGTTTCCTCAAAGAACTTGTCACACTATTATCTTTATCGAGCGTGCCTCAACTCATGGTGTCTTGTTGTTTTTCTCCGTTAGACTGCGCGCGTCTACTCGGTGGCGGGCGTTTGTTTTAATATGTACACGGAGCCTAAGCTTCAACCATCTCAAGGATCGCATATTGTTTAAGCTTCTCTTTCTAGTTTCTTGAAAAGCGCTCGCGACACGCATGAATGACGAATCATTTCCAAATGATATTTAGGTTTCAGTTAACAAATTAAACGGGAGAGGCTACACTGGGCCGGGCCTGTGAGCCGGGCCCGCGGGCCCCGGGAGGTCCGGGGGAAGGGTTCGCCAAGTGCTCGACAAACTCCGGCGCCGTGTGTTTGCGCTCAGCACACCTGGCCACTCTTGTTTTTTCTAACCAGTTTTTTTTCCTAACAACAAACTTTGGGATACGTTAATTTGAGTCTCGTTTCTCTAATACAGTTTGTATAAACATTCTACAACTCCGACCCGACCACACTTCACCTGTTCCCTCGCATTCAATAAACAGATCTCACTGTTTGAATGTCCCTGTTCGTGTTTAACACAGATTGTATTTTACATTTCACTATGATTTGTAATTTGTGATGCGATGGTCCTAGATGTCACTGATGACAAAATTACTGCCGAAATATACACATATGTATGTTTATGTATTAAAAATATTATGATATTCATGATACATTTGGAGTTCGTTAATCAATACGTAAGGTTGAGGAGGATAGGGGTCAGCAGGGGTGGGCGGGGTGGGGGGAGGGGGGACCAGGTCGTCCTAAACAAATATATAATGTATTTGTTGTGTCGCTGACTCTAATAACATATTACAAGTAGCCTTTCAAGTGACGCACGCTCAGACGGAGCGACCAGGATACCGAGATCTCATTATACACATGACCACGTTAAAACAACACTCCGAGTACACTAACTAGAACAATCCTTAATAAAAAGTCATGTATGAAATATAATATGTAAATCGAATGATTTTAAAATTTTGAAGACTTACGACATGAGTCACTCGCAAAACATTCCACATGAAGGAAACAAGAAGAGTGTCACTGACTCAGAAACGATCCCGAGGAGTAGATCGCGTGTGATAAACACACACACACACACACACACACACACACACACACACACACACACACACATACACACACACACACACACACACACACACACACACACTACTATATTATGTGGTAACATGTATGAGACAATGTATTTCGTAAATTATATAACCCGGTGTCCTTTCTAAATCGTATCTTGTAAACCGAGTCTGTTTCATATATTGATACACTCTTCATTGAATTTAATATACATTAATATAATACAGTACAGACAGCTCAGCATTGGTCGGTGAGATGTTGGCAATGAATTAATGTTAATTACAGTATGTTGTACACATAAAAATATTTACGAGAAATACCAATTGAACAGCTGCAGGTGCTACACTTCCCTGTTCCTTGGAGGCTGTTCATCATCATCTATAAATCGTCATTCAATGAGAGTCATCTCCGAACACAGTCTCCGTCAACAATCATACAGCCCTCGTTCCGTGGTCGCACTCGTTCATATCAAGTGATATATAATTAATGATCGGCGGTCACTCCACCACAGGGTCGATCGGTGTTTTAAGTTTTTGAATATATATATGTTTTTGCACCGAGTTTTGGTTCTAATGGTGCTATTTATTTATATCTAAAATCCATTTTGTATCCAATAACTTTTTACCGGAAAACTTGAACGAAAACTCAGTGCGAGCCTCGATCTTGTATCATTCATTCATCGGGTGCATATTTTGATGTCGTCTGACTTATTCGCTTTTATATGAAGCAAAAAATATCATATATATTTGTATTTAGTCCAGTTACATCCTGCAATATTATAGGAGCGAAAGAGTTTCATAATGGTAATGGATAAAATGGTAGGTGGACAGTAGGGATTGTGAATGAGCCGCAGATATACATAGGATACTCCTCACGTACACCCAACACCACTCGGCAGGGCTCGCGACGCCCTCCGTGGAAATGGAGACGATGTACATTATGACAACAAATGGGTAATACATTTTATAACATTTAGTTTGTAATAATGGTTGACACTTTTATCACTATGTGTAGTATTAGAATTATTATATTACCAGTTATTAGTAGGCATTACTAAAATATTTACTTTCAATAAATTTCAATGCGTTAAGGAAACTTTAATTTCATTGCAACTTATATATGTGCTCTATATTACTTTTCATTTTTACAAGTGAATATGCCCCTTAATATATAATTCGATATTATTATTAGAAACAATAAAAGGAGCCTTCATTTCTTGCCCGTCATTTTTATTATCTTCGTTCTGCAATTGTGCGGCCGTTCACGGTAGAAGAAAAGTACATTTGTATTAACCAGTCGGGTAAAAATAAACCCGGTTCGGTGTGTGTTCCTGCACCGAGATTTCAGCGGCTGGCGGAGCAACAGTAGAGGGTGCGGATGAGGTGGAGGGGGGCGGGCGCCGGGGAACCGGTCCCGGAGACCGACGCCGGCCGTCAATAGACCCAAGCAATTCATTTAATTTGGTAATAATCAATGAGGAGCAAAGATGTTGTTATATCTGGAGGAAGGACGAAACGACAACTTACACAGACTGAGAACTCGATGAGAGTTCAATAAAAATAGGATATGAAGGTTCTTCAATAATTTATAGGGAACATTAAATGAAAATCAATAAATCAATATAATATTAAGAGTGAAGCGAGGTGGGAGGGTGCGGGAAGAATGCAATTGCTACAGCTTGTTGTTTGTGTGTGTGTGTGTGTGTGATAGCGGGAGTGCGTGTGTGTGCGTGGGCACTTGTTGCGACTCGACCGGTCGACCACCGCGCTCCATTCAATTTGTCGGACACAGAGCACATTGTACTGTTTACCATCCATCACCAGCCACGAGCGACACTACTCATAACGTACTCCTACAGACTACACTGATAACTATTAGAGTGACCGCCGCGTGTCGTCTGCGGGTGATACTACATCATGATAATTACAAATGTTTTCTGTGGCTCCAGTCATTCTCGCTAACGTAACTGTTGTAATTAATAAGTAGTCATTACAGAACGTAGAGTTGCCCGTGTTTTTAGCTGAATATTGAATCAAAAGCTCAATAACATTTTAGATGCCCGAGTGTTAAGCCTCACTGATACTTCCTCATTAAATGATGATGTTATACCAATAAAACTGTTTCCCTGCGGCGACTCGGCCGGTCGTGAGTCCGGCCCCGACCCTGACCGCGGCTCAGGGAGGTGCCGCGGGCTGTCGGTCACACGGACACACGGACATACTGTAAATAAGGAATTGATGAAATTCACTTCCTCTTTTCATTTTATAATATACTGTTGAACCCGTCTACAACTACATACATAAATACGTTAATCACTTTACATATATTTTATATGTTCTAAGTCCTCCGCCGTATTTAATAAAAGGCTGAAATTAGTATCACCCCCCCCCCCCCCCTCCCCTCCACCCCTCCCCGTCTTCTCCGCGCCACCGCGCTCGCTCCTCGCCGCGCCTGCGCCGGTATTTTAATTAAACCCGCGCTCCTCATCCCATACATAACATAACCTTATGTTCTACCGCTCACACACACACACACACACACACACACACACACACACACACACACACACACACACACCTCAGAGGCCGGAGCCTGAGAACCTGCGAGCAGCTAACGAATTGTAAACCGACACGTGGCGACCTGCACGTGCTGCCGTAGACTCGCTACATCTCTACACCCCTCTCCTCCACCGCTATGCAAATATTGCAGTCAAAAACCGTTTGTAGGAACATTATATATTAAAAATGATTTCTATTAAATTATTGTCATGTTCTATCGTCCGGTGGCAGGTGAGGGTGGCTCGTCACATACTTCTGTCAGCAGGTCGCTGTCTGTCCATAGAGACGCCACCCTGGACTGTGAGCACGCTGCTCGTGGTCGACGATACAACCAACAAATCAGCTTTTAACTGTGCCATATCTTGTTACTTATTATTTTTTAATGAGTTTTGTTTATTGAAAACTATTACTTTTTATTTTAGAATTAAAATAATTCCTTATCCCTGACTATAATCATCACGACGAGGGTATTTTGTGGGTCACGTATAATGCAAGTTATCCTCGTGAGTCGTGTACATATAGTTTACAAATCACAATGATGTTACATTTTTCTGACTTCACGTTATATATTTCCATTTCTTTCTCCTTTTAATCTATGAATGTTATTTAAGGACACTCGACACTTACACTTGATTCACACGACTCATGCCTGTGTTAATTGTAAGAGCACCCCCCCTCCCACCTCCCGCGGGCCGCCTCACCCCCGCCGGCCTCCTCGCGGGTCTCAATTCGCAGCTTCTCGCTGTTATTATAATTGACCTGAGGCTTATTTGCGTGAGAACCAGGAACGCTGATCCGCGCTCCTTATTGATCGAAGGTATTATAATGATATTACGTAAGTCGACATAAAAATACCTCTTCCTAATTTAGTAACGCTGTGCCTTATAAGAAGTCGCTGAACGGGCGGCGTGAGAATATGTTGCCCAATATGGAGCAGACCGTCGTCGGTCATTGGCGGTGGTGTTGTAAACATCCTGCTCGTAGTATCCCTACATTTACTAATTATTTCTAAGTCGTCTCTCACTTCACTGACCATCGGCTGCACTGCTTCCCTATCGCTGCTGAGCTGACGAGGCGTCGTCATAACATCCTCGCTGTATGTATGTTTTGTTAATGCCTAGTAGTTGTTCACTTAATCTTATATTATTTTTTAATATTATACAGAACCTATCTAGCGTGTATATCACCTGTATTCACCTACTTGGTAGCAGCAGCATTCCGATCCGCTGATTTGAAACAGTTCTTTACTATATATAAGTGTTTTCATCCAAAGTATAAACATAAATAAATATAATTTTGATTCTTATTTTATCTTTAGTTTAGCCCTGTACTTATGCTTCTTGTTTTCCTTATTTCAAAAGAGTGCTCGTAAGTTTTCAAATTGTGACATAAAAAAGGGGATCGAACCAAATGTTGATAAAAGAAGCTTTTAATGATAAGATTTGAAGGATTTGAAAATGAAAACGATGACGATTATTATAATAAAGTGTGTTTGACGATACAATTTAACTTCAAACTAACATTCTCAGGCCATAAACAACGCATTTCTTCTTTACGGCCAAGTGTCCGAGAGTTCAATATTCACAGTGCCGGCGTACAATAGAGCGACAACCGGGTGAAACGTCTCGTTTACGTCCTTATTTATTATCATTAAAATTTTGGGAATCGACAGCAGCCTAATAATAATATAGATTTTATTGGTTTACAAACAGTTCGGTACGGTCCTCGACGTGACCCCCGAGAGGCATTGATAATAATGTTTAAAGATATATGGAAATAATGTAGACAAGTCATACGTTAATGAGAAAATTAGAAGATTCATTATGACTTATAAGGAAATATATGAACCAGTACAGTTTTGATAATAATCTAATGTATCTGTGTTCGGTGTCTGCCAGCGGATGTGTCGCCGGCCAGGCGTCCTTCCGTCCATTTATCTGCCACTCCGCGCTCTGGACCTTCACTCACTGGAGTGCATTGAGTTTAAGACTGGCTCATTAGCTGTGTCACGTTAACTACACACACACACACACACACACACACACACACACACACACACACACACACACACACGATGTGCTGAACACTCATATAGACAGACTTAATAGATCGAAAGCCCAAATGTAGTCAAAGTGACAGAATCATAAAAATAATCTTATTAAAAAAAGGAGTAACAAAAAGTATCTGTTGAACTGAATTATATCAGTAGGTTTCTGTCCGAATGCGTTTCAGAGTCCGTAATGAATCCGGTCGCTGAGTTGCTCTTATAAATATTTTTTGTATCGAGATCAAGATATGAGTGGTCTCGTTGGCTTGTGAGGTGGACGCAGCAGTCCCGACGCAAGAGACACGCTCCCACATTAACTAATAATAATTGTGTTCTGTATAACATAACGTACACATGTTTATTATATTATTATAATATATCACATTCTATGTTAACTTATTCTCATCAAAATATCTTAAACCTATAAAATGAAAATAATTGTGGCTGAATGAATAAAAAATTGTATATGGTCGAAACTGACAAATCAAAACATCTGTAAAAAACAAACACTTTTTGAGTTTTAAGTTTATTTAAATTGTTAAATCTAAATGTTATTTATTTATTCATTTGTAAAAACACTTAACAATGCAATATATAGTAAACGTTGACGTCCACACTAAGCTAGGCCTGTATCGTGGACATCAATTCATTTCTAGCAGACACGATTCTGTAAATTTTTACTACTCTTATAACAATAGTAAATTACAATCACACAAAAAGTGGTACTTAACTTAAAGTTGTTAATAATTAAATAATTAAATAAATATCTTTATGATATTTATAAACATCTAATAAATAAATTAATTAGTGAAAATAAAGAAGCAAAAATAAGTAATTTAGTTTTCTCAGATAAAAAAAGCCTTTGAACTTCAGTTTTCCATGTTTTGACGATAAACTCTTGTCTGATTTTCATTCAGAAGAGAGAAACAATATGACGTGTGGATTAATTCATTCTGATTGTTTTCATATATCAGTTATTTGTTTGTGAGGTGGAACCAATAAAATAAACGTAACGTTTATGTCAAAAAGGACGTTAGAGCAACGAGTTTGTGTGGACTGAGAGTGAACATAATAAAGAAGTTATACGAGAATTAATAATGAAGGGAAGTGAAGATGAGCTGTGTCTTTTAACCAGTTTGTTAAGTCAATGAATTAGTTATACCTAAATTATATATTAGAATTCATTAGACATGTTGTTAAAATGTGTAAAACTAATTACTTCAAATTTAGAACATGAAGGAATAAATCTTTTAGATTACAGTTAATGTAACGTCCGAATACTCCAGCTGGTTGTGAGCACAATAGACTTCATTAGGACGGTCCTCTCGTCACCAGAGAAACGGCCGGATACATGGCCTCGACACATTATAACACGTACGAGTATGTACATACAACAAAGATAAGTTCTGCACATGGTCAGAAACTATAGTTGATAGAATTAACGGATCGATTAATAAAGTAGTTATTGTTAGTGTGAGGTTGCTCCTTACAGTTCACAAGCCCCGGGCGGGAAGCTTCCTCGCTCCGTCCTCAATTAACACCCATTGTGTTCAACTATTATCACCAGTTCCCAGCGACCAGCCGACCCACTTGGGGCAACGCTTTTGTTTACGAATTTATTTTCAAATGCTATCTTTTATGTTTCTATAAATAAACGAAGTGAGCGTTTGATAAATTATAATCACAATAATGTATTTCACGTCTCGAAATGCGAACTGTAGATCACGGCGTTCTGTGAGAAACGATTTAATGTAGACGCGCATCTCGGTCTGCATACCAACACAAGCAGCGGGGACTGCTTACACTATGGTCGATACTGTTCAGAGAAGGAAAAGGGGTTATATAAAATATTTAAAAAACAACCGCCCGCGAGGTTTAAAATACTAAGTAGAAAGCGTATGTATGTACGGTGACTTAGAGAGTGAAATAATTTAAAGCGGATATAAATCAGTCGTACACAATGCACCCAGGATAGTGATCTCAAAATGGCATTCGGTAGAAAATCGTGAAATGTAATCGGCCATCAATGTTCGTCCATCGCTAGCGACTGCAGCGGAGGGAAGAGGAGGGAAGGCGGAGGCCGAGAGGGGCGCGCGCGCAGTCTCCGGCCGAGCCCCGCGGAGAGCGCACCACGCTCACTCACAGTCGACACGCGCCACGCGACACGCGCCGCTCCTACACACGACCTGCGACCCGCGCCCGCGCCGGCCAGTGGCGACCCGTGGCGGCCAGTGACGGCCAGTGACGGCCAGTGAGAGTGCGGACGGTGCAGTGCAGTGCGGTGGAGTGCTCGCGGCGGCATGGCGCGCCGCGGGCGCCGCGCGGCCCGCTGACCCCATGCGCGCGCGACTCCCGCGGCCCACGCCGCTGCTGCTCGCCCTCGCCCTCGCCGCAGCCCTGCAAGTACGTTCACACGAACAGACACACACACACACTATACACCACCACCAGCCACTTCCCATGGAGAACATCAGCGTTATTCATTTTCAAAACATCTATCCACTGATAATTCCAATAGAACAATCACAACACTGTCTGCGTTCAAACACGTTGACGAAGTAGTGCGCGGAGTCAGGTACCCATGTACGTGAGAAGACTCCGAATTGTCATACATTTGTAAAAATATTCTTAAACACCAGTTTCTAGACAGGATTATTACATCTATTTTATACAAAAGTACTACTATGTAAGAAAATCTAGACAGAGTACTAATTTTTATAATTATTTTTTAAACTAAACTTTTGAATACTAATCTAAGTTAATACTAGTGAGAGACGGTCAGGTGATGCGGTCGGCTCCGAGACGAGTCTTAAGATAATAAAGAAAACTAAACGCGATCGATAGCTTGGAGCCTACATCTAATATATAATAGATATCGATAGCTCAAACTGATTCATATATATAACTGGTCCCATCATGTCACTGTTAGTGTTGGACGGGGTCGCACCGGCTGGTAGGAGATTCACTAATATCAGGGGATTCTCGAGATTCTGATGGTCACACCGTCCTCATTGATATGATTCTTGAGTCAAACAGTATTTTCTTATATTTCTTGAAATCTGAGAAAAAGCACCATTACTTTACTACAAGCATTATCGACTAATCATGAGATTAAAAAGTGAATAAAGAAAAAAACCACATATTTATTAATAACATTTTTTTCATCATTTTATGAATGGACAGTTAATGCAACTCATCTGATATTCATGAATGTTTATATAAAGTACATATAATAAAATACAACCTGAATCACAATAAAGTTTAATGAAACATTCTACGATGGTTCAGATGGTCACCAGTCGGATGATCTCTGTTTGTTAATACATTGTAACATGTACATATATCGCGACCGAGCTGTTTACAGGAAGACTATTGTATGGACGCACCAAGTGACGGATCAGACACAACATCAAATATTCATTGTAGTACATATATTAAAGCGGGTCAGAACTAAATGTTCTTATTTATAAGTCACTCGCGTGTTATTTGCTCGACTCCATCCTGAGCGTGAGAACGGAAACTTTTGCTCCTTTTTAATAAATGCTAGAATTTAATCAAAAGTGCGCAAAAACACGAGTCTTTAAAAGTAAGTCCAAATGTTGTCATTTCCTTGTAGAGCACCCTGGCCCAGATATGTTTTTAGTGGGTGATGTATTCAAGAATTTCCACAAAACATTAAAAGTATTCGTAATATGCTCAGCTATGACTCTGGCTCTGGTATTTGAAGGCTGTTCACAAACAGGTATTAGACCGTGGATGTTCAAATATTGTCTTCTAAGTTAGTTCAAGTCAACTTGTTCGTTTCTTTCATAATAATAATCTATTCAAAGGATACGTCATTAAAACAACTATAAATGTTCTCATAATCAGCAGGTTGTGGTGTCAGTATGTCGTCCGTCGGTTGTGTTTCATTCCGCTACATTCAATACACAGTAGTTCGCTCCTGTATCACCTCGAGCTTTTTATTTGACCTAATATTTTATGTTTTGATGCAAACAATGGATAAAGTCGTAAAAGACAAAGATTTTGTCATTTAAAATGATCTCTTATATTTTTCTTATTAATGTAATGTCTTTAGGGAAAGTAATGGTGATACATCCTGTAAGTTCAGGTTCCAATGTTAGACACGAGGGTATGATAACTAACTACATGAAGATCATTCGGCATTAGTTTAATTTAATAATCTCAGTGCTAGCAGTCCTCGGCTTACACCGCGGCCGCTCTCACCACCTGTACCATGTACTCATCGGTAAGAACATCTCCTGGTGTCCGACGGCTCGCTTATAATACAAACACACAGTCAGAGAGTCACACACGACACTTACATTACACGGAGTGCGGCACAACAACACACGGAGCTAAGAGGAAACAATACAGAAAGTGATTCATGCTTACAAGACATTATACATTTTTGTAAATTACATACTTAATTAATGCTTAAGAACCAGTAGTGTGATGTTGGCCAGGAGTCAATGACCCCGAGCCGTCAAAACTGCGGAGAAACGAGACTCGAATACATTTGCATCTAATTTAGAGTACAAATTATATATTTGATTGAACCCATTACAAAGAACAAGTGTATTATTGGACCATCGAAAAAAACTAATTTGACTTAACATTAAATTTGATTAATATATTTATTGAAAATAAGAATTTAAGATGTTACATTACATATATGTATAATAAAAAGCCTCATCACATCCATTATAAATGGCTAATTGTTTTCTTTCCCATACATTACATATCTCCGTATGGTTATCATAGCGTGGCCCGTACAGCTCCTACGTGCTTGTGTCGGTATTTCCTGCCACAACAAAAGGCGAATAAATGTGAGACTAGTCGAATACCGCGGCGGCGCTCGCCCGGCCGCATCCGTTCACAGGCTCTCAGGATTGAAAGTGTCACATAATTATACCGGCTTTGTCCATTTATTAAAATATGTTTCTTTTTATTTATATTTTAAACGGTACACACCGTACAGGTTGCAGAACCACTTAGACTAATTTCTACATATCACTACTAAACTTAGAATTTCCTTACTGATAAGATATATCAATAACATTTGTTATGGTATTAAAGTTGTTATTGTATTGCAGGACGATTATGTTTTTTAATGAAAACCACGGTACGTGTTCACTGATACGTTGTTTATTTGCGACTACTTTAAGATTCAAACAGATCGAGTACATTATGGTCAAAGTAATAATTTGTTTATATATGCATTAAAGAAAGACTCAACATTCCGCCCACCAAAAGGACTATCAGGTCCTTTTACAAAAAATCTAGACAAATGCACTTATATATATGTAAATATTAAATATGTACCAAATTAAGCAAAAAATTAAGCAACCAATTACAATGGCAGTATGTTATTTAATTAAATCAAATTAAATTAAATAATACAAACAAGTACCTAATCGTAAAAAAAAAAACAATACTAAGAATTAAAAAAAAAATAATAATAATAAAGTTATTAAATTACTCAGTGCTGCTAATTGGAAAATGACAAAGTTTCGTGATTGATCTTTTTACCACATTATTACCAGATTTTACGCTGTATACTCTCGTACATCCATCTTCACCAGGATGCTTATCCACAATACGTCCCAATGACCATTTGCCGGGAGGCAAACCATCGGTCTTTATCAAGACTATATCGCCTATTTTTAATTCCTCAGTCCTTTTTAGCCATATAGGACGTTGCTGTAATCTCGAGAGATACTCTTGTTGCCACCTTCGCCAGAAATCACCGAGCAACTTCTGCGTATATTGCCATCTTGATAGATTATGTACCTTTGAATCCTTAAAGTCTGGTGAAGGTACGACAATTGGTGGTTCTCCGATTAAGAAATGGCCAGGAGTAAGAGGTTCTATTGAATCTGCATCTGTACTGTCTACAGGACATAGCGGACGGGAGTTTAAGCAAGCCTCAATTTGGCACAACACCGTGGACATTTCCTCAAAGGTAAGGTTGTTGGTCAGTACTCTTTTTAGGTGGTATTTCACTGATTTCACTCCAGCCTCCCATAAGCCACCGAAGTTTGGTGTGTAAGGTGGTATAAAATGCCATTGAGTTCCATCTAATGCCAATTCGTTGGCTATGTCACCGTCGAATATAAGCTTAGCGTCCTTCCAGGCTGTCGCTAATTCCTTATTAGCTCCTACAAAATTTCTTCCCTGGTCACTCCATATGTGTGTGCATTTCCCTCTTCTAGATATGAAGCGTTTGAATGCAGCAATAAATGCTTCGGCACTCAGATCTCCTACTAACTCTAAGTGTATGGCTTTAGTTGACATACAAACAAAGACTGAGATGTATGCCTTCTGAAGTTTCATACCTCTTCCCTTTGACATTAATATTTGTAAGGGCCCGGCAAAATCCACCCCACTATGTAGGAAAGCCCGGGTAGGAGTTACCCTTTGTTTGGGTAGGTCTCCCATGATCTGAGTCCGGAAAACTGATCTCTGTCTTGCGCATATCAAACACTTGTGGATGCATGTCTTCACTAAACCCTTGGCTCGTATAATCCAATATTTGTTACGTAAGTAACAAAGCATCAGTTGAACGCCTCCATGCAGCGTTCGAGCATGTGCATCGGCAACAATCAGGGTAACTAATTTACTTTTGTTTCCTAAAATTATAGGGTGTTTAGCTAGTTCATCTAAATTTGCATGCCGAAGGCGACCGCCCACCCTGAGGATATCATTTGTATCCAGGTAAGGATTGAGTGTCTTAATAGTACTGTCTCCTCTTACAGCTTTGTTCCTTTTTAATCTATCTATTTCATTTGTAAACTCTTCATTTTGTACTAACTTAATACAGGACGAAAGTGATTTCTCTAATTCTTCTGTTGTAAAATTTTCATCCACTTGCTCTAAGCTTCTTTTAAAATTTAAAAATCTTCGACAGTAGGTAATAGTTTTTAATAATTCCTTTAGACATCTAAATTCCTCTATTTGTGACATTAATCCCTTCCCTTCCTCTTCCTGTTGTAATTTTAAATTAGTTTGTATTTTTTCTTTTTTTATTTCCAGGTCTGTATATACTTCTGTTTGTTTTAATTTTATTTCTTTTTCAGAAAGCCAGACTGGACCCTTCCACCATAGATCAGCATTCTTCAAGTCAGCGAGTAACATTCCTCTGGACGCTATGTCTGCCGGGTTTTCTTCAGACGAAACATGGTACCAACGGTTATTATTGAGGTTCTCAATAATTTCTACTACTCGATTTGCTACAAATGGCTTCCATCTATTCGGTTCCCCTGATAGCCATGCAATTACAATTGACGAATCTGTCCAGGCATACATTTGTATCATCTGTATCCTCATAGCTTGTCCGATTTGTTTCAGTAATCTTGATAACAACAATGCTCCTGACAACTCTAATCGTGGTAAAGATATTG